TGCTCAACCTCTCTACAGTCCTGCCAATTACGGTTATATCTAATTATATTCATTGCGAACAGAGTACAAAACATGGAAGAAGAATGCGCCCTTTCTCTATGATATGATCCTGAGCACAGCATTAGAATGGCCAACTCTTACAACTCAGTGGCTTCCAGATAAGCAAGAGTACGCCCCAAAACTCCTACTGGTCCAGTCATCAACTTAACCAAGCCTGTCTTCAGAGTCCCGGACAAGCCCTACTCAACCCACCGTCTCCTCATTGGCACACATACCACTGGTGACGCGCAGAATTACCTTCAGATTGCCCAAGTGCAACTCCCAAACCCTAATGTGCCAAACCCGGAAGACTACGATGAAGAGAGAGGGGAGATTGGAGGCTATGGTGGGGGTTCAAAGAAGGCACAGATGGAGATCAAGTTCAATATTGTGCAAAAGATCGATCACAAGGGTGAGGTCAACAAGGCCCGGTATCAGCCACAGAACCCGAATATCATTGCGACAATGTGCACAGACGGTCGGGTAATGATCTGGGATCGCTCTAAGCATCCCAGCCTGCCAACTGGCACAGTGAACCCTCAAATGGAGCTCCTCGGCCATGAAGCTGAAGGCTTCGGGCTTAGCTGGAACCCTCACGTGGCCGGTCACCTCGCAACGGGCAGTGAGGATAAGACTGTTCGACTTTGGTAAGCGGGAACAACATGAAACCCAGAGATTTGGTGTGACTAGCTGCTAATGAAACCCACAGGGACATCACTACATACACTAAGGGTAACAAGGCAGTCCGACCAAGCCGCACCTTCACGCACCACTCATCGATCGTCAACGACGTTCAACACCATCCTCTCCACTCCTCTCTCATCGGAACCGTCTCCGATGACATCACGCTTCAAATCCTTGATACCCGCCAAGATGATTCCACTCGTGCGGCTGCTTCATCTGAAGGCCAGCACCGCGATGCTATCAACTCCATTTCCTTCAACCCGGCATCCGAGACGATTCTGGCCACGGGTTCTGCCGACAAGACCATCGGTATTTGGGACCTCCGTAATCTGAAATCGAAGCTCCACTCGCTGGAGGGCCACACCGATTCGGTGCAATCCATCTCGTGGCATCCATTCGAGGAGTCGGTCCTGGCAAGTTCCAGCTATGACCGCAAGATTATGTTCTGGGACCTCAGCCGGGCAGGCGAGGAGCAAACCCCTGAGGATGCTCAAGATGGGCCACCAGAGCTGTAAGTGACCACGGTTTCCTCTTTCCTTTTTGTACTGCGTTTGAATTGTCTGCTGACCCTACTCCCTAGTCTCTTTATGCACGGTGGACACACGAACCGTATCTCAGACTTCAGCTGGAACTTAAGTGACCCTTGGGTTCTCTGTTCCGCCGCCGAGGACAATCTACTGCAGGTATGGAAGGTAGCAGATGCTATTGTGGGCAAGGACCTGGAGGATGTGCCAACGGAAGAAATTGAGGCGTGATGTTATTTTTACCGGACTTGCAGTCCAGTCATTTCCCATATGCGTGCTTCTTTGGTATAGGTGAATTAAGACCATAGCGGTTAATTATCAAAAACACCATTTTATCTAAAATTTATATGCGCAGGTGGTCACGGCCCTTTTGCTAATGGTATGCCCAAGTTGTCATGTAGAGTCCACCCTATATTTTCAGGGTTGGGTACAGAAGAGTATATCGTTTCCCGTGGCCACCAGATGGCCAGTGTCATGATACAACTAAGTTTAGTACACGGTACCTATCATTAGAGACATCGGGATATCGTCCCTACACTATAGTTGCTCTAAATATATTTCCCGTGGCGCCATTTTAGTAGAGAAATATGTTCCCGCCCGTTCCAATATATAATGCTAATGCAGTATTATATGAGATATATGAGATATGTGACGAATAGAGCGAATAATACATTTGTATGCCTCTGAAATTGTCTAATTCAATAGTACAACATGTATAGACCAATGCATGTAATACATATACATGGCCCCCGTAGTCCGTTGGCCGCGGGGAGCATGTCATCACTCCGGTGAATTATGATTGGTGCTGAGTGGGGGGCGATGAGGGGGACAGAAGAAAGCTAGTGTCGTTTGAAAAAAAAAAAAGTGAGTCTGACTCTATGTTCATCTTTATTATTATATATCATCTTGGAAGGTGATATATTCTGTTTCCTATCAACGTTGAATTCCACTCTTGAAATATCTCCGTCATGGGTTCCGGTTCACCTACAAGCCCCAGGGCCTCAGCCATTCCGTCCCACATGCTGAACGGTAGCTCCCCGCTGCAACGGTCAACAAGCAGCCGTGATTCTCGTGAGCGTGAGAGTCTCAATACGTCTATTCGTTCCTCTTTTGAGCCCCGCATCCCCCTTGAATTCGAAGCCCCCAAAACTGAGACCAAGACCGAGACCGAGGGCGATAATGAGACTGGAGCCACCCCCACCCAGTCCGTATCCAGTGCTTCCGTGCCAATTCGCAGTGTGGCGCCAGTGCGGTATGTATACAGCGGCATCAATATTAGTGACCCTGGCGCTTTACATTTCTTTGCTAATCTCTGGGCTGTAGTCCTAGCTTGAATGACCCTCCCCGCGATCCCCGGGATGAGGCCGCCCCATTGACGCCTTCGACCTCTCTCAGCCGACCTGAAAGTCCCTACACGTTGAACCCTCCCATCGACTTTGATGGTCTCAGCTGGCCTTGTTAGTCATACCGGGCCCCTCAATGGACAATGCCGTATTGGTATATTCCTCTAACCACTATCACCTAGGCCCCGGAACTAGACAGCGGAAGGAGTCGACACCCGAGGAGACAGAACAACGGCTTGAGAAGATGTCGGGAGCTATCCGCACAATCTTGGAATGCATTGGCGAGGATCCGGAAAGAGAAGGACTTCGCGAGACCCCCTTGAGGTATGCTAAAGCCATGCTCTATTTCACTAAGGGCTACGAGGAGAATGTTCGGGACTTGGTCAACAATGCTGTCTTCCACGAGGACCACGATGAGTTGGTCATTGTCAAGGATATTGACGTCTTCTCGATGTGCGAACACCACATGGTACCATTCACTGGAAAGGTAAGGATTGTTGGGTATATCAATACGGTGGTGATGATCATCCTAACAACTTATAGATGCATATCGGATACATCCCTGACCGCCGCGTCCTTGGTTTGTCAAAACTGGCTCGCCTGGCAGAGATGTTCTCTCGCAGACTCCAGGTACAGGAGCGTCTTACCAAGCAAGTCGCGTTAGCAATTTCAGAGGTCCTCCAGCCTCGCGGTGTCGGTGTCGTTATGGAATCTTCCCACCTTTGCATGGTTATGCGCGGCGTGCAGAAGGTTAGCAGCACCACCACTACCAGCTGTATGCTGGGATGCATGCGTTCCAGCGCCAAGACTCGTGAAGAGTTCTTGACTCTGTTGAACCGGAGATAATGCCCCATCTCGTCAACCGACCTAAACACAGGTTGTTGATTTTTTTGGATTCTTTTTGGAGTTATGGTGGTGACCTTTCAACAGGTTTTGGGTGGTCTTGGCTTTTATTTTACATGTTAAGCGTGGATTGGTGTTTTTATTGTCTTCTCTTATGTCGGTTCTGCACATACTCGGGCAAATCTTTGCCCTGGTGTTTCGTCATGTTCCTTTATCCATGAACCTCACAGCCTGCTTCTAGAGCTGATGGCTTTGCTGGAAATGGGCCACATCCCCTTCCTCGACCCACAAAGGCCCGAGGAAGAAAATAATCCTCTCATTCCCTATCTCCTATCCCCTACTATACTAACACAACCCCTCAAGAGGCCTTTTCTGCACAGTCTATTGGGATCTCGCTCAATAGCACTGGCAAGGCTGTTTCAACACTTGATCTCATGCCGCTTACAAGCATCCTAATAGCAATTCTGGGAGCTGTCCACTTAGATACGATATATGTATTAGAACCAATGTACAATTTCTTTCCAATTTCTTGCTTCCTCATCTGCAATAGAAACGACAGGCTCTGGTAGTGGTGTATCGACCCCCGACATAGACAAGTGTCGAGTTAAAGGCATGGAGCCGATTACTATAGAGCTATTTGATCTGTCTTAGGGCTTTTTATATGTCAAGTCTTCGTCTGATTCAAGAGCGAGTGATGCCTGCTAACTGCCCAGGTGACAATGTATATAGGTAACTCTGACCGCTGAGTGCTTTGCCCGCTCGATGGTAACCCTATATTGCCAGCCTTTGCACCAGCGCGTCGGCGCGTAGATAATCAACACGTAGATATCTAGGCAATCAACACGAACTTCACCGTTGCGCGCGTGATGGCCACACTACGCGTACACAGATGGCTTTATTGTTTTTAACCCCATCCCTCGACACTTTCTTCTTTCCTCTCTCATCTCTCTTCTACCACCTATCTTCTCTCTTCAACTCTTTCACCTCTGTCCCCATCTCTCTATCGACTCTTGATTCCTCCATTACCTGGAGCTCTGCCTGTACTCATCTCAGTTCTGTGATCTATCGATTGCCTCTGCTTGTGCTTGCTGCGTGTGTTCATCGTTCAGAAGCACCCACGTCCAAGCTCCTCTCAATATCTCTTTCTCCACACACCAAACATCAGTCTTGTCTGTCTCTGTAAGATCCTACCTCCTCTATATACAACACCAGTGTCTCAGAACCATGGAGGGTTTCATTGACATCCTACACTGGCTTTGCTTCGACCTCTGCCTTCTGAGCACACCACGGATTTTCTTTAAAGAAAATATGATGTGATGCCTGTTCGTATGGTGTACCTTTTTGGATACTGATTTGGTCTATACTTATTTGGTTGCTACGAGACATGACTCTAATCTGTTCGCAAAAAGTTAGGGTTGTCGCATTCAGACCTGTCGAGCATCCTGCGCCTGAAGGGTTTTGCCCTGTCAACACTGAGCACAGCAGGTATGTCGAAACATGTCTGATATACCAAGCATGGAGACTTACTGATATGCAATTGAAGGAACCAATACTCCATTTCAACACAATGGAGAACCACGCTTGGCGCTCAGCCTCCCCAGGTCTCTCTTCTTCTGAGGACGATACCGACATCTTTGTCAATGAACAAACCGGCACCAACAACACTACCGGGTCTAGACATGTGCACTCCCATGCGACCCTTGAAATTATCCAGGCACACCTGGACGCTGATGCTGAGTCTGACTCTTCTGAAGCTTCTGGACCGCGCGTGCACCCTGACTTCTTTGTTCATCTTGAGAATCTACGAAGGGTCAATGAAGCCAATCGAGTTAATGCCCGCAGGGAAGCTGAAGCCTGGTATGAGGCTGCTCTGATGCCCAGTCAGTACCAACATGAAGCTCCTCGGATTATTACTACCGAAGCCAACAGCGAAAGTTCGCAATTTGTCAATCAATTTAACCAACCTTCGTACCATGCCAGCACTGAAAATGGATTGCAGCCATCGGCAATGGGCATGTCTGAGCAGTATGAAACCCAAGATCCCACTGCAGCCGGACCATTCCAGCCGATGCCGCCACATGTTCGTTTTGAGACACCTGATTCCGCGGGTCATGTTTTCACCAGGGAACATTCTCATCACCATAGGCCTCCTTCTCCCTACCCTACCGCAAATCCCGCGAGTCATGTTCACACCAGGGAACATTCTCATCACCATAGGCCTCCTTCTCCCTACCCTACCGCAAATCCCGCGAGTCATGTTCACACCAGGGATCGTTCCCATCACCATAGGCCTCCTTCTCCCTACCCTACAGCGGGTCGGGGGCAACGTTATTCCTTTCGGAACTACGCGCCAACTGCTTCTGCCTTTCGAAACTGCGCGGCAACTACTTCCACGCCTCAGCCACAGGGATATACAGAACACGGAAACCCCTACAGAATCCCATTCGAGCCGGCTCCGTTTCCTGAGGATGCCGTCCCGTATGACCCGGAACGCATCCTCCAAGCATGGCTCGTCCGGCAGCAACTTATTGCCGGCGTTCGTCCGGAAGATATTCAGCCCATGGGGCAATCAAGCGGAAGCCGACACAGAACGCCTCCTTACATAGTGCTGAATGACAGTGGTGCCCATATCATAAGAATTGAGCCTGCCAGATTCGAGGGTGCCATGCTTCCTCTGCCCGCCCTTCCTTGGCTGCCACGGCGCCCAAATAACTCACACTCTGCGCCTGCTTCATTGAATACACAGAATGGATCGGGTCCATCTACTGGTCCAAGTATCATGGCTGCTCCAGACTCGGCAAATATTCTGAACTTGCCGGTTGGCTCAAACATGCCAACTGCTGCCACAAACTCGCCGGTTGGTTCATACCTTCCAACTGCTGTAACAATCTCGCCGGTTGGCTCGAACCCGCCAGCTGCTGTAACGATCTCGCCGGTTGGCTCAAACCAGCCAGCTGCGGCAACCCTCATGGCGGCTCCAGCCTTGCCAGCTAATTACGATATTGTTTCGGACTCAACTTTCATACCGGAACAAATTTCAGAAGATCTGAATGAGGATGTTGCAGAAAGTGAAAGCTCAGATTCGCGTATGGTGGCCTTCTTCCAACATCTTCGGCTGCATGAACATGCTAATTCAGTCTCAGTTTCTATGCCAGATCTGGTTTCAGGACCAAGCAGACCTGAGCCCGGCTCCAGTGAGAACAGCCAAGCTCCTGTGGTTACCCCCCCAGTCGCACTCGCAGGCCAGCTTGTCCCTATCTGTGCAAAACCATACCGATGCGGATTCTATCAGCTCCCAGGAAGTTTCTGGGTTTGAAGTGTCTCCCGCCCATTCGCAGGGCCGCGATTATTTGACCCCCTCTCCTTCGTCGAGTGAAGGATCTGAGGCCGGTTACGTTTCTTCTCCCTAGCCTCCGCATGGCAATAAGGGTTTGCCTCACACAAACGGGCGTTCTCTAGCCGAGATGCTGTCTCTACCCGAGTTCAGCGGAGAGGCCGTCCGTGCTCGTATGCTTCGTACTCTCTGCAGAGAGCCCCGGAGAGATACGAGGATTGATGTGAGAATACAACAACACCTGTATGAGTAGTTTCTGGGGGAAGCTTTGCTTACCACGTAAGCATGAAGTGATTTAGGGGTGATTCGGGAATAGTTGCGAGAATTTAGGGGGTTTCAATCTCTGAAAGGAAAAAAAGGAGAAAAAAAGGAAAAAAAGATGGATTCTAGTGTAAAGTATTACTGAATGAATCTGTATTAGTACCAACTGTTCGCTGCCGTAAATCTACACACGTACTAATCTATGGAATGTAAAAATATACATTCTGTGCACATGTACTGATAGGTTCTGGCACTGCTGTGTTAGGAATGGGATCTTGGATTCTGACATGCTCGCCTAGCAGACTTTCGTCGCCTGATCAATATATCACAGCAGATCGCAGCTATCCATACCGGTGAACCGGATAGAGAAGATTCAAACGGTGTGGTCAACACTGCACACGCCCGTGTAGAATGCTTCGCTTCATGAGCTCAGGCCGAACGATGAAGAAAATGAGTCGGGTGACAAGGTGTGTTAAAGACCTAGCATAAGTTGATATAGTTTTTTGAGGTCTTCCCAATATAATCTGTAAGCTACTGAGGTTATAAAAGAGGTGATGCGAAGTGCGGCTCAAAGCTGATTTATGTACTTCATAAATACATGATGTCACGTGATTTGCATGTGACCCCACGCTCAGTTCCGGCACAACTTCGACTTGCCCATGACATCAACCTACCTCTTTGCTTTCTCGGTTTCTCGCCGATTCGGTGTTGCGCATGCCCCTCTGATTATACTGTGATAATATCTTTTGTTAAAACTAACTTCTTTGTTTTTCTGGGAAATGTTCCTTTCTTTTCGGGTGAGAATGGCCGGGCGAGCATGGCCGGGGGTTTGTGTTCCAGCCCCATCCCGCTCAATCTCGGGCTCACTTTCAGGCCACGGCCTTGAGTCCCCTCCAACAATATCCACATCGTGAGACGTTGCTTTCTCTTAGATTACAAACTGTCAATTTCTGGCCCTGGAATTGACCTCACTATTTAATATCGGAGGCGGGGTTGGCTGAGCGCAGGGACTAGTCTCTAGCATTTCACCGACAGGTCGCACCTTTGGGGGCTTGCGCATTCTACTGGATTGTACTGGATTTGGGAGGAACCATCTTTGGTTTTCGGCTCTTCTTGCCTTGGCCGTCTCGTACATTGACCCCCCATTCGGTATTTCCCACCATTATCGCCAGCATTCTGGTCAACTGACCTGTACACCTGGATATCACCAACATGGATTCGCACCCTTGTTCGACAGAACCATAAAGACACGGTGCTCGCAAATTCGACTTAAAACGACCTCTCAATCAGGATTTCTGCCCATATTTCATCTCTGTCCCGGTGGTATTTGTCCCAAGATAGTCAACCATCAGTCTATCTGTTGTAAATCACGGCAAAGCTTTATTCCAGAGCACACTGTTTTTTCCAGGTGCATGACGACCCGGACTTCGATAACTGACCAATCTACAACTTACCAGACATCGAAAAACTGACTGGCTGGGTGTGATACAGAGCATCAATGTTGTTTACAACAAAGAATCACAGCGTGTCGAATCGGCTCCCCGAATTGACCAACAGCTCCATGATACTGGTGAAAGAATGATAAGAGACGACAGCCATTGATTTTATGGTGTGACCTGATAATCCAACGGGGATTGTCCTGTTCACAATGGTGCCTCGGGAATGTTGGCCCATCTGGCCTTGTGCAATACGTAGATAGTTTCATTCGTGGGACAAGCCAACGCAGTCTCAATGTGGCTTTGCCAAAAACAGGCGACTGCTGTACAAAAGGGCAGTGCGAGCACAAAGGAGGCAATATGCTAGCAAGCCTGGCTAGCATGTCCGTTGCTCCAACACTGGGCACCATCTGATCAAATCATGATGTGCTGAGCAGACAGACTCGATACATTCGGTATCGAAAAGAAACACGGGGGAGCAAAGCAGAAGTACAGGTTGCACTTGTTTTCGATAGCTGCACGCCAACCCTCCAGCATCCCAGCGTCGAATCAAGTTGTAGAGCCGCAACGCGGATCAGTCAGCAACTCCGAGGTCGCCAACCTTGGAAAGCCCACCCTCCACGGCCAAGTAGTGTTCTTTCTTTACTTGAAAGGGTGAGACGGTGTATTTGATAAAATCTGAATTGGTGCGTATGCCCGTTCAACCCGTGGACCTTCCCCTTGCTTACATATGTTCTCGTTGTTCGGCAGCGCTTGATAGTGTGCAGCACAGTTCGGAATCTGGAAGAACCATCGCTCCGGGTCCCCCAAACCCGAAAGACTTCCGCCTACGATCGCATACACGCTGGACGCCATCGTTCACTGCGCTTCTCATCATTATTCTCTAGTTCAAGGCTTCTTCCAAGGACTGGCCTTGCTGACATTCTCCACTTCCCCTGATTGAACCAGATGCCGTTGGCGACGCCGACATGGCTGGGTCCCGTACGAGTCCGGTGTTGAGAGACCAGTGGAATGCCGACCCGGATCGTGATCCCCGTGACAGGGAGAGACGGAGAGGTCGAGGGTCAGGCCGCGATCGAGGGAGAAACAGAGGTCGCGACCGAGGCCGTCCATATCGGCCCAATAACCGTAATTTCGATCGTTCGGGGCGGTCGCCACCACGCGCGTCCCGCTTTGGCCCTGACTCTTCTCACGACCTAGGTGATTTCGCTCCGGATCGATCTCCTCCTCGGGGTTCTCCTCCACCTCGAAACTTCCATAATGGCCGTCGACTAGATTCAACCCAACCTATGCCATCAGCCGGTGACTGGAACGCCCACAGTTCCGGATCTTTCGACAGAGAAGCCCCCGGTTTTCGAAGAGACGAGGCATCAACCGGACCTCCACAGAAACGGCAAAGGACTCGAAGCCCCTCACCGCGAGGTGGCCGTGGCCCTCTTCCTCCACCGCGTCCAAATTACTCTGATAACTGGGATATCCGGGATCGAAGCCCTCCTTCATTCAAGAAACGAGGTGGCCGCAACCAAGGTCGTGGTGCTCCGAGAAGAAGATCACCACGCCGGGGCCGGGACCGTCGGGGGAAAGACCGTCGTCGTCCAGACATCACCCGTCCAGGAAGGTCTAAGTCACCGATTCATGAACGAGGGTTTCCTTCGCCCGATCGACGGTCTCGTACCCCTGGTGGTGACAATTACAGCGACCATGGGTCTCACTATCGATCGAACTCACGGCACTCCGTACGATCTGCAACCTCAAGATACTCTGAGTCATCTCGCAGGTCAAGACGTGATTCAGCGATGAACACAAACCGACCGATTCAGTCTGTTGTGGACGATACTGCTCGGTCTCCATCTCCACCACGCCCGATTCCGAGTTTTGACTCTGATAACTTCGGAGAACACTCTACTCACTCTAGAGATGAGTTGCCAATGCATGCAATGCCTCGCCGTCGGCCATCTCGACCACACCTTGATACCCGGCCCTATGCAAACCCTCAAAACGCAACATCGACAGGCTCATACCACGGTTCGCCGCAACCGCCCTCGCCTTACTCCGCACGAGGAGGATGGTCTGGCCAGCCTCCGTATCCTGGAACCGAGTGAGTCTTCTATTACTTTCACTTTACATCTTGAATTAAACTAACACTCTCTTCAAGCCATGCCTCTCCTTACCGACATGATGACTATTCAACGCAAAATGGAAACTATTATCATAACAAAGGTCAATTTAACGGCCCTGGCAATCATCACCCTCAATCTCCGTATGGCGGGCCTGCTCACCGGGGTGGACACTCTGGTGGCGGCCATCGAGGAAACTTTTCAAACCAGGGTCCCGATCGGCGATTTTCTGGCTCTGGTTCTCATCCATATCACAATGGACCCTCACAACGCGGCGCGAAGGGGCATTTCAACAACTTGCAATGGACTGCATCGGGATCAAGAGGCCGTGGGGGACAACATAGCCCTCACCCGGTACACAGTCATGGCTCACAAACACCCAACCGACCACCGTCACACCATGACCCGCAGTCCCCCCGAGCTGGAGAAACTGATGGTTATTCCCGACCATCTCATAGGGATGAGGAGCAGAACCAGACACAACCCCAATCCGCTGGCGGGAATCCCCAGTCTATGCCACCCCTGCCCATGAATACGCTGAAACGACGCCGGCCAACAAGGGCGGGAAATTCAGCTTTGCTTTCAAGCCAAAAGCTGCAGCTTCTCCCGCTCCAAAGCCAGTACCTGACCTTGCCCAGAGGATGCAGGTCCACAAGCCGGCCCCCCGTGCACCCGAACCTCCACAACAACCTCGTAATCGGTTTACCAACGGTCCATTGCCTAAATTCAAACCGGAGCCAAGAGGTGATCGCCGTGACCGGGACCGTGGACGGAATCGAGACCGCAGGGATTTCCGGGAGCCACGAGAATTTCGTGATCCACGGGATCGCAGAGATAATCGTCGATTCGATCAACGTCATGATCGACGACAAGGAGAACGGCCCCCAGACAGGCCCTTGGACTGGCAAGATCGCCGCCGTGATCCCTCTCCAGAACCGCCAAGAGGGGCACCCAAGCAAAAGCGGATTCTTACTCGCCCCAAACCACGCCCCACGCTTCCCGAGGAGTTCGCTAATGCTGACTCTGTGTACTACCGAAAGCCGGGCAATGAGTCTGTGATTGGCGCTGGTACGTATGGAAAAGTGTTTAAAGGAATCCACGTCTATACCCAGCGTAAAGTTGCACTCAAGAAGATCCGAATGGAGGGCGAGAAGGATGGCTTCCCTGTCACGGCTGTCCGAGAGATCAAGCTGCTTCAGCATCTCCGAAACCATAATGTCGTCAGCCTCCTGGAGGTCATGGTTGAAAAGAACGAATGTTTCATGGTCTTCGAATACCTCTCTCACGATCTGACCGGTCTGATCAACCATCCCACTTTCTCTCTCACTCTCTCACACAAGAAGGACCTGGCGAAGCAAATGTTTGAAGGTCTCAATTACCTTCATCATCGGGGGGTTCTACATCGTGACATCAAAGCAGCCAACATATTGATCAGCAATCGTGGATTGTTAAAGTTTGCCGACTTTGGCCTCGCCCGGTTCTTCTCCAAAAGTCGTCAACTTGACTACACCAACCGGGTCATCACCATCTGGTACCGACCACCGGAACTTCTCTTGGGTGAAACCCGATATGGTCCTGCTGTCGACGTGTGGAGCGCTGCATGTGTTTGCATGGAGATGTTCACCAAAAAGGCTGTTTTCCCCGGTGAAGGTGGAGAATTGAGCCAGATGGACAAGATCTACAATGCTTTGGGTACTCCCACGAAGACTGAGTGGCCGGACCTTGTGGAGATGCCCTGGTTCCACCTGATGCGGCCAACGGAACGAAGGAAGCGCGTTTTCGAGGATGTGTACCGTGATGTGCTGACAACCGGTGCGATGGATCTTATCTCGTCGATCTTCCGCTACGACCCTTCACAGCGACCGAGCGCTGAGGATGTTCTTAAACATCCATACTTCGTCTCGGAGGAACCAGCTCCTCACCCGCCGATTGAGTATGTTTCCCCCGCTCCCTTGTGTATACTGTCCCTGCTAACTTTTGTCTACAGATTGGAGCACGTTGAAGGGGACTGGCACGAGTTCGAATCCAAGGCGCTCCGCAAGGAAGCTCGGCGTGTGGAGTACCAGAACCAAAAGGACAAGCGCAAGGCGGACGCATCGGTGCCCAGTAGCGATCGGGATTCCAAGCGCACCAAGCAAGATTCAAGTGATCGTGTCTCTGCTCAGTGATGAGTCTTGATTGGTAAATTATTTTTTATTTTTTTTATTTTTGTTGCTGTCTTATTGCATCGGACATGGTTGGTGGAATGGGTTTGCATTTACTTTTCACGAGATTCACTACCCTAGGTATTTGGGGTTCCTTCCGGGCTTGTTTTCTTTTTTTGTCACATATTGCCCATTGATCAAAAATTTAGATCAAAGTTATTACTTGTATTTGGAGGTCAAACCTGGAAGGATAATGGACTGATATATATGGAAGTAGTTCAGCATTTAACAGATGGATATTACCTAGACAAGCTACTGCATGTCAGTCCGTTGACCGTCGACCACTAAAAGAGACAACTATAGTACATTCAAAAATATATTTCAAGGCTCAGACTTTGCCTGTTGACCGCATGCTCAACCATCCCGTAGTAGGGCGGTTGAGACCTTGGATTACCAGAGAGCTCAAAAGAGTTTCTTCATTGCGTTGAAATATGGAAAGAATAGAAATGGAAACGGAAACGGAAACGGAAACTGAAATGGATTGCTATTAAATAGACGTACCCTATAACTACAAATAAACAAAGAACTTTGGAAAGTATGTGTCGTCAATCAGGTCATCAACGTTTCATGGGATGCTCGTAAGCCCTCGTGATGATGGTTTTAGATGCGATCAAATTTTATCTCGACACACACATCGGAGACGCCAGTGCTGTAAAAAGAATGAGTCGCCAGCGTTGATTTGAGTTGGTGGTCTTGATATAAAAAAAGAAGAAGAGAAGAACAAAAAAAAAAAGGCGAAAGAAAAAGGGAAAACTGGAAAAAAGACGGTGCGGGCTGCAGGCGAAAATGGGGCTATCGAGACTGTGATTGGTCAGGACAGCTGCTCCTCCAAACTGCAGTCGAGTCTCCGATTCATATCGACACTTTTCCCCTTCACCTGATTCCCCCTCTATACATTTGCTCTATTTCTTTATTGCTTCTTCTTAACAGCCTCATTTACTCCGGATATCCTCTATTCTTACCTTTCCTTACTTACTTCCTTTCCCCTTGATCCTTACTCCGAATTTCTTAGCCAGAATTTCCCATCTGCCACTATACTACGTCACTGAGATAATAGCGCCGGCGTCTCATCTCTCTGTGTAACGCTTCTTACGGATCCTTTTCTTTCCCCCTGATGACCGCTCGTGTCTCGGGCAGTCTTCTCACCCGCCGCGATGGATAATGCAAACCTGTGGACCCGCCGGACAAAGTTAGTCGTGTGCCCCTCCTCAAGGTGATCATTGTAACTTATATGGTGGTTTCTTCTTTTTATTAGCTCGTCCAAGTTGTCCCTGTCTACGTCCGGAGACGCGAAAGACGGTGCCCGTGTCGAGCTGCCCCGCCCATCCAAGCGGTTCGGACCTGACAGCTCGCATGGCCGCTCGAATCCATTTAACGCAATATCCCCATTATCCGGCGGTGTTTCCTCGCCATCCACCAACGCCTCCTCCGCTTTCGGCCTGGGGTCCGGCGCATTCGCCTCATTCGGTGCGCCGAAGACTCCCGGTGGCTCCGAGTTGAAAACACCCGGACGGGAGGTCCCTTTGGAACACGATGAGGCTACCCGCAAGGCCTTTGAGAACCAGCACGTCGCTGCTCCTGGTGAGCACCCGCTGAAGTCGACGTGGATCGTTTGGTATCGCCCTCCCACACCCAAATACTCCGACTATGAAAAGTCTACCGTCCCGCTCGCTTCGATATCTTCGGTAGAGAGCTTCTGGGCGGTGTACTCTCATCTTAAACGTCCTTCTCTTCTTCCCACGGTTTCCGATTACCACATCTTCAAGAAGGGGATTCGCCCCGTCTGGGAAGATGAGGCGAACAAGCGGGGAGGTAAGTGGATCGTACGTTTCAAAAAGGGTGTTTCCGATAGATACTGGGAGGATCTCCTCTTGGCTATGGTTGGAGACCAGTTTGCAGAGGCCGGAGATGAAGTCTGCGGCGCTGTACTGAGTGTCCGAGGCGGCGAAGATGTTTTGAGCGTGTGGACGAGGATTGACGGGGGGCGCAACATCAAGATCAGGTACGTGAAAAAACCTGTTATATTTCACCTGCAATATATATATCTAACTTGGTTGCAGAGAAACGATCAAGCGCCTGCTTAATTTCCCGGCAGACACCAACATCATCTGGAAGAGCCACGATGACAGTATTGCACAGCGGTCTGCCATCGACCAGGCTCGCCATGAGAAGACCGCCACTGGCGCAGGTCATCAAGAACGGCGACGTACAGGCCAAGATGACTCGGACAAGGCCAAAGCGCCTGTGGCCCTATGAATGGATCCAAGATCCCAGCCTGGCCTTGGGCCCTGTATAGTAAACCCGAAAAAAAAACTTCATCACGAATCATTGGGACGCGTTTGGGTCTTAGGGCGGTGGGGCATCGAGGCGAACTAAGCGGTTTGATTTGATTTATGTCTTGAGTGAACTCATCTATGCCATGTGTTTTTCTTTTTTTTTTTGTGTCTACCCAGCTCATGCGTGATGTTTTCCCTTTATGTACGCAACATGAATGCAGCACGAGCTGCTATTGGACCTCGCCTGGGAGTATTGTCTGTCCTTTGCGTGGTGAATTGGTTTGTCTTCATGTGAAGTAGAGGCCTTTCACTAAAGACTTAGGTCTGTTCAACGTTATGGCGCTGGCAGATATTCCCACGAGAACTACGTATACCAAGGTAACCAGAGGTATTATTGCATGGCCCCGGAGATATTGGTACTTGACCTATGTGCGAACCAGTAACCCTGATAAGTATGTAGGGTTGTTGTATTGTTCATGCTATTAGGGTATTGGGGCATTTAGCTATTGTTGTGAATAGCGTTTGTGAAACAAAAAGGTATGAACAAAGTGCACCGTTCAAATAATGCAGCCAACTGTTGTATCTATTTATCTATCCATCTATTCACTATTCACTATTCCAAGATATCAAAGTGAAAGTCTGTAATGCCTAAATCTTCAGGCGCCCATCAATGCTGACCGCCCTTAAGTTAGTTAAGGCCCAGATGACGATGCGGCGGAGTTCCCATGAATGAAGAAAAAAGAAAGACAATAGACAAACAATCGATTGGAATGGGATTTATGCAATGCATATTGTCATGACCTCGTGGCTGCCTTCATGCCTGTGTTTAAAAACCTAGTCGAGCTCTTCTCTAATCTGTCACCACGACGCCAACGCGAGACAGAAAATCAACGATCTGCTCAACGGACTCGACCACCGCCCTCAACCCCTCCTCGTTCTCGACCAGCTGGATCTGGTCGCAATCCTTTTACCCCGGTACCTGAGGAAACTGACCTGACCGAAACCACTTCTCCCCAAAACGCTGGGATCACTCCTCTTCCAAAGGTATGTATCTGCCCGTATCTCTCTATGCGCGTCCCGCCGATATTTGCTTTTGGCGGTCCATATTCCGTTTCGATAACTTGACCCTGCACAATTCCCTCGCCTTGTGCGCTTGTCTCTCAGCTCCGCCTGTTTCTTTTTTTTCTTGCCGCAAGCTATTCTCAGATATTCGACTTGGGACTAATAGCTCTTATCAGGTTGCTCACAGTTATGTCGATACTTTTTCGTCCCCAACTGGATCTTCAACCGCAGACGAACCATTGCGCACAAGTTACTCCCACCCTTTTCTGAGTCCCAATACCCGGTTAGACATGTCCCATCGGAACCCGCATCCTTTCCCTGCCGGCAGGCCAATGCTGATGCCCTCACCCATTCCCAGGCCGGGTGATTCGTCGCAGATGTTGAACAAGGACCAACAAAAGGATTCCCAGAATCGCCAAGATGAGGCTCGTTTGTTCGGAGCCAGATATCAGTATGTTCTACCAGTGTGTTTTGAGTTGGAGATATTGTTGCTAACCAGCTGGTTTTTGCTTGGTAGTGATTCCAATGCTGTCAGGATAAGGCCCGGAGCATCCCTCCATTCTAGGAACAAGAAGCCAGGGGTAAATGCCAACCTTTACCTCCATGACTATGGCCTCTTATCTGACAATCGGTCACAGTCCAGCTTCGCGTTCTCCCCCCGGGACAAAATCTCACAGAACCAGAATGCCCGAACCAGCGGGCCGGTCCGTTCTTATGGAGAACCAAATCAACAAAGTTCACGAAGAAGGTCGTCCCAATTCGAAGATGAGTTTGAAGAGTCGGGTCGGCCTACCAAGATGCGGCGCCAGAGCGAAACCAGCGAGACCATCGACCTTACGGCCCCATCCATGGATCGATTGGAGCGGGGACGCACGCCTTCCGTCTACTACCCAAACGCAACTCATCGCAATCGACGGGAAAGCTTCAGGGATGCAGAAGATGGCGTCCAAGTAGCGCAAAGCTCTATTCGTCCTCGGCATGGCCAATTCTCTTCTACTGACTATCGGGATGAAAGGTTTACCGAAACAGCAGCTCAGCAACGGCGAAACCAGGCGAGAACTACGGATCCCCAGTTGTCTCATGTCAATGGCAGATCAAACCACACTACTGACGCCGTTGTTATTGGGAGCATTGACGTTGGACCAAAGAGAGCTGGTCGGAATCGCACCGCAGCTCCTTCCACGAACTACCATCGTCCTATCAGCGGCAGGGAAAGCCCAGATGAGCTCCAGGGCGACATCACCACACACCCAGTTCCAAAATCCTTATCAGAAAAACATTCTCAGACCACTCGCCCACCCAAACCTGGAATGCACACAGAGACATCGACCAGAAAACGCTCCCCGTCCGATACCAGAAGTCCAGGCCTTTCGCCACCACCACCAATCACGAAAAAGACCAAGGTCTCTCAAAAGATCTCTGAAAAGAAACAGCTATTGTGCTATTTCCGAATCGGCATCTTCGGCAAATCTTGCCAATTGAGGGAATTCGTCCCAATTTACGTAAACAAGGAAGGTCTTGTACTTCGTGAGGATGCCCTTGGGCAAGGTAACACGATCTCGATACTTTTTCGAAACATCCATCAGATTGTCGTCGGCGAGAAACCCAGCCGGAAAGTGAGAATCAAAACGTTGCAAGATTCCGTCCAAGCAGGCGACCTGCTCGACATTGAATTCTGGACCACTGAGGCCAAGATGAACTTCCTGGGATTGTTGGATCTACGCGAGCTGCGTATTTCCAAAGACATGTAAGTTTTGTGACCATCTTTCAGATGAGTTCGCAGTTCACTAACGTTGGGACAGGAAATGGATGGACAAGGCATTTTTGAAATATGCAAAGCAATTCCCACTGGAGAACAAGCTGCCGGCGAAGCGGGTTCTCGATGACTCGGTGGAAGATCCAGATCCTGCGCACTCTCCTCCCCCGCGACGGCCCAAACTTTCAAAATCCTTGAGAGATGACCATGGTGAAGTCAACAATGTTGATTCACTTGAGATCAAATCTACTGCCCAAGAAAACGGACGACATGGAAACGGCAACGTCGATTCTCGAACTCCTACCAAAGAGCAACAGAATCTCCGACCTCATGATACCGACACTGGAGTTGGTGTTCGACCTACCGTCAACCCAGAACGCGAGACCCGGTCTTCTACCCGCCGTGTCGCTAGCAAGCCCGACGTGTCGAGTGGAGGCATTACATATGAAGCAAACCCGAACCCACTTCTCGGGGATGATTCTTTCAGGCAGACTTGGAAGAAACCGTTGGTGTTTCCGCGAAATGGAAAGAAGAAGGCTGAGGTCACCCTTTGCGATCGTGAACGATTACTTAGGGATGACTTCTTGAACGATAACCTGATCGCTCTGTACATGCGTTTCCTTCAGGATCATCTCGAACGCACCAACAAAGAGGCTGCCAAGCGAATCTACTTCTTCAACACCTACTTCTTTGCGACTCTCACGAACACCCCACGGGGTGTCCGTGGTATCAATTACGGTGGGGTGGAGAAGTGGACTAGGAACGTCGATCTCTTCAGTTACGATTATATCGTCGTTCCTATCAATGAGAGTGTCCATTGGTACCTTGCAATCATTTGCAACTTGCCAAGTTTGTCTCTTGGTGCTGCCGACGCCGTAGAGCAGGTTCACACACCGGCTCTACAGAAAGAATCATCCAACGCGTCTGAGAGTGAGGTCCAGGCAATTGAAGAGACCCCTGAGCCGGAACCGAAGTCAAAGTCAGAGACCAATGCTTCTAACAAGGCCGGTAAACCTCGTGAGATTCGAAAGGAATCTGAGGCCGGGGGGCACATTGCTTACCTGCAGCTTGATGGCGCGGGTGAGAACTCACTTCCACTCCCAAATCTCTCCAAATTCGCAGCCCAAAAACTCGCCCAAGACCAGGCCGCTGCCTCGCAACCGACACGCAAGTCCAAGAAGAAAAGAACTGGTTTGAAGTTGGATCCCAACCAAACAACCATCATCACATTGGACCCACTCGATATACCTCGCTCCCCGACCATCAAATCACTACGCGAGTATGTCTGCTGCGAAGCGGAGTCTAAGCGTGGCGTGGAGCTCAACCCGAACGACGTCAAGGGCATGCGAGCTCGTGATATTCCCTTTCAGCCCAATTCCTGGGACTGCGGTCTTTATCTGCTGGCGTACTTGGAGAAGTTTGTTCAAAGTCCTGATTGGTTCGTCACGAAGGTGCTACAGCGGACTATGGATTGTAACGATGACTGGCCCCCACTAGGCTCTGGTCTCCTGCGATACCGTTTTGGCAAGTTCCTCGACGAACTGTACGAGGAACAGCGGCAAGCTGATGAGCCTGTCATGGCAACCAAACGACCCGTTTCATTCCTTCTTGGTCCGCGCCTTCCCTGTCAGGAGGAAATTGCAGATTTTGATGTGGTACCTGAGTCCCAGCATGATACAGATCCTTCAAAAGACGCTACGAAGACTTCAAATTCGAAGACTGAATACTCGAGTGAAGATTCAACCGCGGACCAGATGCATCTATTACCTACTGAACACCCCCCGAAACCACACCCCTCCAAACCACACAAAGCATCCTCCAACCCACCTGCAGACGCAAGGTCACACCACGACCATGTTCGTCCACCAAAGCAGGAACCTGTCATCCAAGTACCCTGTAGTCAGGAAGAGCCCGAAGTGCCACACACACCGCCCCTGCAAGAAAAGAACGAAGGAAACAAAGCCCACGAGGCCCTTGGCGAAAGAGATGAGTCTGTTCATCCATGTGCCACAACCTATTGTCTGAGATCACGATATCCGAACACAGTACCGGCTGGACCGGAACTGACCATCTACATCATGGATAAACATCTTCATTGTTGTTCTTAGCGTTTTAACCCGTGTGCGTCATGGCATGTCCAGCGTACACATAGCTTTGCATCGGCGTTCGATAAGAGAAGGATGGTGTTTTATTCTTCTTGTCTTTTCGGTCATAGCATCATATACCATCATCCGCATCGCAATGCAAATTTAATCGTTTTCCCAGCAAAGTACCAGTAATACTACATATACCTACCTAGACACACATGAAGCTACCACTCACTCTCATCTGCCCCAACCCACCACGCCAGCCTATCCCTCTTAAACGATTCAAAGTCCCACTCCGCATCCTCAAGCATATCCTTCCCAGCAGTATACACATAAGTCACAGCCGAAACCTCCTCCTCCTCACCAGCACTCTCAGCACCCGCATCGAGCATTTCGCGCAGCTGGCTCTCAGCAGTACTACCCTCCCCAGCATGACTGTGCTCACCACCCTTCTTTTCCCGCAGCGCACGCACAGTAACCCGTCTCTTCTCATACTCAGAGCCCTCAAACCTGTCCAATCGGTAAACATCGCCGTCCGTTAGTCCCGACACGAGGGTTCCTATAACTGATGTCCCAGCGCTGGGTTTCGGTGCAGAGTTCTCCGTCTCAGTTTGTGTCTCTGGCACTGCCACGATCCCTGGGTAATCGGCGTTCTGCACGCGATGCCGTCGGTACCCAGGTAGAATGGCAGGTTGGAAGCGGAGCATGGCTTTTTGCCAGGGTTCTGGGTCAGCCTGGCCGTGGATTACTCTGTGGAGGATTTGAGGGACCATTAGGGTTCCTGAATGGTTTTTAGTTTTTTGTTTGTCTTGATCCAAGAAGGACTTACCGTAGAAGAAGAGGACGTGGTCGCCCATTGTGTTTGGTGTGGGGTTGGACTGGGTTTGGTTGTGTGAGGGTTGAGGCTGAGATAATGAATTATATGAAATTGAATTGGTGTAATATAGAGATGTGTCTTTCACGAGAAGCTTAGGGTATCAAGAACATCAAAACAAGAGTGACGAACGAAGCCATACGGGTTCCAAGGTCTTTGCGGAGACGGCCCCCGATTTATAGATGCTTATCGATAAGACCCATCCAAACAGGCCCAGCTGGCTTCATCTTCCCATTTCCAACACACCATGCATTCCTCCTTGAACCGCATCCAGTCCGTATTCGGCTTCTTCACTACAGTCGCGCTGGTCGTCAGCGCTCTGGCAGCCGTCTCTGTCCTCTTCTTCCCAGCAGACGAGGCCAATGCCTCCGTGCAACTGAAGAACGTGCAGGTGTAAGTGAAATCGATTTCCACTCCCCTCCAACACTACACTCTACCAAGATCGAAAAAGAAAGTTTAAAAAAAACAACCCCGTTTACTAACTGCGACTCGTTGTCTGGTACAATAGCGTCAAAGGCCGGCCGCACTACTACTCAACCAAACGCGAAGAATACGCCCAGCTCCGCTTCGACCTAGACGCCGACCTGAGCCCGCTCTTCAACTGGAACACGAAACAGCTCTTCGTCTATGTCTACGCTACCTACTCTTCCTCCGATGTCCCCGGCTCGCAGGTCCGCGCCTCAGAGTCTATCATCTGGGACACTATTATCCCCGCGACTCCGTCGCCGTATTCATGGGAGATCCTGAAAGACAAGATCATTGCGCTTCTTCCTGTGTCCGTTTCGTCTGATGCTGTGGCTGCTGCGAAAAGGAATGCTAAGCGCCATGCTAAGTCGAAGTCGGCTAAGTCGACGAAGAGTAAGAAGGAGGCTCTTGCGCCCGGTGTCCTAAGACTGCGTGGTCAGAAGGGTAAGTACCAGATCAGTGATATTACTGGTCGTCTGGCGCAGCGTCAGAATGTTACCCTTCATGTTGGGTGGAATGTCCAGCCTTGGGTTGGTGCTTTGATGTGGGCGCCTGGTACGGGTGCGGTGCCGAGGACTGGGGGGACGATTGTTAGCAGTGAGCCTTTCGATTTCCCTGAGGTGAAGGATACCAAGAAGGCTGCTGCTGAGAAGAGGGCTAAGGAGGCGGAGAAGGTGGAGAAGACGAGTGTATAGGCTTTGGGTCTGTTGAGATTGGGAGTTGGGATCTACCTTTTTTGTTTACTTTTGGGAGCTTTGGCTAGAATGCTCACCTCCTACAGTTGCATTTTTTGCATTTGAGAATGATACATATGAATCGCATTGTCATTGGAGAGTGGAAACCCATCTTTCTCATTTTATTTGTAAGTTCAGTGTCCAGTTATACCAGACAGGAGAACAAGGATGGACGCTATAGATACAGCAGAGGTGGAGACTCGCTTAGGTTCAAAGTCGTAGAGAATGCCGATTGTCCACAGACTGGGCCATGCATGTCGAACAGAGGTTCGGGGTCATCGAAAGAAAATCACATGGTACCGTAACTAGGGTGTGCGGGTACATGACGATGGCCTCCATTCTGGATGCGATCGGAGTAGACGCCGGGTGCGGGCCGTTGAGAGGCACGAGTCAGTGGATCGCGATCGCGACGATCGTAATAGACGTATTCCAAATAGAAGGCATGGATGTGTCCAGGGAAGTAACTGGGAAGTGTCGCTGGTTAGTTTTTGAATTTGACGGAGGTCTGGCTATCTAGTACAGCACTCACCCAAGAATTGTGAGGAGGACGTTGATCCAGAAGTCAACTCCGCAGCCGGCAATCATAAAGACACCAAGAGGGGGAACTGTTTGGTTTGTTAGCAGATCATTCTGGGGATAGGTAGATAGATGACCTGGGGATCACTTGTGTGGGTTTTCCGTGTAATTTAGGAAGGCATTTACTTACCAAATAAGGTGATGATGATCAAGCAAAGCATCGAGCAGGTGCCGGCCATGATTGCGGTGTTTAATGTATGCGGTCTTATTGTTCGGGTTTGGCAGATTGAGGTTTGAACTCGGTCGTGGCCAGAAAACTGAGGAGGAGGATTGTAAATAGGAGGATGAAGATATAAATAGGAATGTTGTCGTCTGCAGGAGAGTTAAGGCGTTTCATCTTGATGTTGGCCGCGACGTCACGACTTGGACGGAAAGGGGGTGGTAGGGCTGAGGCAGCCGCGAAGCTGATTTGCTGGACGGACAACCCATGACGTCATCCCGTCATCCCGAACTGACGCCACATTCCACAAGGTGTGGCTGGTGCATGTGTCCTTGGGAATATAGGCAAGTACCTAGGTACAGTTGACCGGGCAGGTACGTTGGACGGACTTGGAGAAGATGTAGAAGGTACTGGGAATATATTTCCTGTAATATTCCCAGCATCAAGTCCTACACCGCATCAATCGCCGCCCGAGTTGTAACTTGCTCGTTCTTGTTGCCAAGCTTCGAGATCTGCAGAAATGCATCCACTCCGTACCCTTCTAGACTGTGCAGTTCTAAACTGCCTGCCCAATATTCAGCATAGACTCGGCTCATGGGGAGACCCATCCCCAGACGGAGATTTGGCGGTCGTGACGTCAATGTGTCCAGGGATCCTTCATGGTATGAATCCCGGTCGGTATGTTTACGGTCGTGTGACACTTGCAGCTCTTGCATCGTCGCTGCCATTGCAGGGACTTGTCCGAGATTTTCGAGTCGGGTTTGCGTGCGAGGGCCCTTGCTAAAGGACCACAGGTACGGTAGAATCTCTCGAGGGATTCCTCCTCCTTGATCAGATATGCGCATTATCACATGTTGCGGGGTCTCGCACACGAGCACTTCAATAGGTGGTGGAGGTTCGGTTGAATGCTGATATCTCTCCATCACTGCCTGCACTGAGTTGCGGAGAAGTTCTCCGATGATATATTCCAGGTGGCTCAAGATATACGGGAAGGTCGCGTCGGCATGACCCTTGACGGTGATCTCGGGGATCTGGGTCGAGTCCGATATATCCTTCATCAGATCTTGTGCGACTTTCCCACACCGTTCGATTACCTCCTTTGCTTTGCACTTTAGGAACACTTCGCCCACAAAGTCTGCATTCATGTCGGTTCGGTCGTGGGAATCGGGGAAATGCCATGGCGAGTTGAAGGTTTCGGTCAGAGCTAGGTGTTGCTCTGCGATGACTCGGCGAGAGATTCGCTGCCGAGGAGATACATGTCAGCTAGGAGGCAGACCAGAGGTCGGCCTTACATACCGCGCGCAGAAGTGTGTTCATTAACCGGTCCATTTCGTCCGCTGGAGCGAGATTACGGCATTCCAGCACTCCCATCGCCAGATTGGGAATCGCAACCAGGTGCTCTCGTAGCATTTCCCTCAGAATGTCACAGAAGCGATCATTATCTTCAAGGGTCCGGATCTCAGGCACCACCCGAGCCCGCTCAAACGCTTTGTAGTACAGCTCGTATACGAGGGTGAGATGGGGGTTAGCAACCACCACATATGGCAGCTGCTGGATGTCTCGCAGACGATGCGCAAGGCTATCCAATGACCATGATCAGATTTGTTTGCTTTTTCCCTTTAATTCTGCAAAGGTTGTCTCTCCACTTACCGAGTAGGTAGCTCGGTCCGCACGTAGTTCGCGGAACTGATGAGTCGTGGTTCGGTCAAGGTACGACCAAAGAAGGTCAACTGCCGAAGGCTGATAGGTCGAATAGGGCGCTCCACCCATCTACCAGGGTATGCTGGGTTAGTATCACCATTTCAATCTTTAGGCACGTGAGTCATTCATACTCATCTACTGCAGAAACTGGCCGCCATGGCGGCGGACTGTGAGCTCCAGAATAGAAACGTTTCGAGGGAGACCGGAAGAGCTGCCAGCTTCTAGCTGGATAGGACAACCTCATTGTGCTCCATGCACTCATTCAATAAGTACCGAGACCATATAAGTCACTATCTTGTGCACGCGCGTAGTTGGGACCGGAGAGAGTTTGGGGTTGCCGGGCGGTGAGCCAAGCATGTGACACCAAGGGCTATGGACAAGATTTGTTTTGGTCTCTGTTGTATACCGGTATATATCTTTGATATATATGTATTGTTCTAACCTTGGAAGGTTGCAAATGCCAATGTCATACGATTTGGAGTCTCCAAAGTTGCCTCGGATCTGAGGCAACTCGCACGGACTTGGGGCTAACGCACCAGCTGGGTTGAATGATCTGAAGGTCACCTGGGCATATTTGGATGTTTGAGAGCATGCAAAGAGATATATAGATTAGCCTGCAGAACTAAAACATCATGATACATACCTAGGTATTGTAGCTATCTACATCATGGATAAAAATTGGGGTTGGTATAAAAAATAGGGCTTTCTTCACCGTATACTCCGCACCTAGGTACTCCTGCATATATTCATATATCATACGCACTGCCAATTAAGCAAACTCCCATTTAACTTCAGTTTGGGAGAGAAAGAGAAGTCAAAACTCAATGAGAAAGCAATTAACTAAAAATAAGCATATCAAAGACAGATCTCACAAAAACCCTCCAACAATATCACTGCCGAGCCCTCGAGGCTCCGCCACCGCTAGCTCCGGCCCTTATTATTTTGCGGGTTCAGACGAATTTCCTCCACCACCAGCTCTACAGTGTATTTCTTTCCAACATTCCGTGTTTTTATTCACAAAACTTTCCTAAAATACAAACTCTGACGCCTTCCGGGACGGGAAGGCGCTTTCCGCGATGGAAAACGTGAGTGATCCCCCGACCGTGCCCCTCGCTAGTGTCGTCATTGGACCTAACCCTGTTATACCAGCTCGCGGAGAACGACATGCTTGTCGATGATTATGACCAATACCCTGCCGAAAAGACCGATGTCGTCGTCGTTTCCCGGTCGGGATCCGACGAGCCTGAGTCCGCACCGACCGCAGATGACCGTATGTTCTTTGTTGCTTCTCCTTCACTACACCACAAACAGGGCGGTTTGACAGGTTAACACAAAGCGTGGCAACTGAATGAGATCGCCCTCGAGAAATACACTGCCTATTTACTTGTTTATACTGAATGGTCGCTAATCGAGAGCCCCGATGCATATAGACGCGGCGATGATGGCAAAGGTCCTCCCCAGAACCCGGACCTCGAAACCCTAGACGAGGTCTACAACTCATGGCACTTGTCAGAATGGCGGAAAATGGATCGCAAGTCACACGGACCCATCTTCCGATGCGGTGGTTCCCCCTGGTGAGTGCCTGAAATCTCTTTCCTGGATTGGCTCTATGGCTCTGTGCCGGCATTGGATCTGACTCGAGAATAGGCGCATCCTCTTTTTCCCCTATGGCAATCAAACCGAATACGCCTCGTTTTACCTTGAACATGCGTGGGAGGACGGACCTCCGGAGAACTGGTACGCTTGTGTGCAGTTCGGGCTGGTGTTGTCAAATGTGAACGATCCTTCTATTTATACACACCACGGTAAGACCTTCAAGTCTGGAGGAATTGCTCGATCAGAATGCTAAGATGGATTTTAGTTGCGACACACCGTTTCACCGCCGAGGAAGGGGACTGGGGTTTCACTCGATTTGCCGACCTCAAAGGTCTGTTTAGCCATGCGTGGGAAGGGAAATCAGTTCCGTTGGTGCAGGATGATGAGGCAATTATCACGGCCTATGTTCGTGTGGTGAAAGATCCCACGGGAGTCTTGTGGCACAGTTTCCAAAAGTGTGTTCCCTCCGGGAGATTTGACCGAGTGAAGCTAACATTCTCTCTTTTTCAGTTACGACTCCAAAAAAGAGACTGGAATGGTGGGATTGAGGAACCAAGGAGCTACATGCTACTTGAACTCGCTTTTGCAGTCGCTTTATTTCACAAACGCTTTCCGCAAGGTACGGCAAGACAACTTCAGTCCCCCTAACCATTGAGACTAATGAAAATCTTTAGGCCGTGTACCAAATACCGACTGACCAGGAAGCTACGCGTGAGAACAGCGCGTGGGCCCTCCAGAGACTATTCTACAACCTGCAGACCAACGACGTTGCTGTTTCCACAACCGAGCTCACCGCATCCTTTGGCTGGCAATCCAGCCAGATCTTTGAACAGCAAGATGTACAGGAGCTCTCACGAAAGCTCATGGAAAGATTGGAGCACAAGATGAAAGGTACAGTTGCAGAAAAAGTCCTGCCTGATCTGTTCGTCGGAAAAACAAAAACGTATATTTCTTGCATCAATGTCGATTACGAGTCTTCTCGCGTGGAAGACTTCTGGGATATTCAACTCAATGTTCGAGGCAACAAGAGCTTAGATGACAGCTTCAGGGATTACATTCAGGTTGAGACGTTGGAGGGGAGAACAAGTACGAAGCCGGGCAGCCATACGGTCTGCAAGACGCTAAGAAGGGCGTCATCTTCGAGAGCTTCCCTCCCGTTCTGCATCTTCATCTCAAACGTTTCGAGTACGACCTCAACCTCGACATGATGGCCAAGGTCAATGATTATCACTCATTCCCTATGGAGTTCGATGCGGCCCCTTATCTTTCTGAGAGTGCCGACAAGTCGGAGTCCTGGATTTACCAATTGCACGGCGTTCTCGTCCACAGCGGTAACCTCGATGCCGGGCATTACTATGCCTTCCTCAAGCCCACCAAGGATGGACACTGGTACCGCTTTGATGATGACCGAGTCAACCGAGCTACTGACAAGGAAGTCCTGGACGAGAACTACGGAGACTCCCAGCAGCGCACGAACGGCACTGGAGGACGATCCGCTATGCGCACTAACAACGCCTACATGTTGGTTTACATCCGGAAGACGAGACAGGATAATGTATTATTACCGGTCGCAAAGGATGACGTGCCCTCTCACATTGGTATGTCTAGAGACTACTATTCTTTGGAGAATTGAACGCTTGGCTAATTATGGAATAGAGAAGCGTATGACTGAGGACCGGGCGGAGATGCTGCGTCGGAAGAAAGAGAGAGAAGAAGCTCACCTTTACATGAATATCGGCATGCTTAACGAAGATTCATTCCGAAGCCACCACGGCTTCGATCTGACTAGCAATGACCTACCCGCGGATGATCCAGCCCTTCCCACGCAATACAAGGTTCTTCGGGCAAAGAAGGTCGGTGAATTTGCACAGGAAATCGCCGAAGAACGAGGTCTCAAACCAGAAGCCATTCGATTCTGGGCCATGGTCAACCGTCAGAACAAGACAACCCGACCCGATCAGGTGATCCGCGATCAGGAAATGACTCTTGAGGAGGCTTACAACAAATGTGGCACTAAAGGCCAGCTGTTCCGCTTGTGGGTGGAAGTGGCACCGACCGGCGCAGACGGACAACCTACTCCGTGGCCCGATAATGACTCGATTCTCGTTTTCCTCAAAAACTTCGACATTGCCGCCCAGACCTTGACTGGTGTCTGCTCTGTCTACGTTCAGAAGACCCAGAAGGTGAGCGAGCTGGCCCCGACAATTCTTTCCAAGATGGATTGGCCGGCCGGTACAGAGTTCATGCTCTTTGAAGAGATCAAACATACCATGATCGACGTCATGAAACCTAAGCAGACTTTCCAACAATCTGAAATTCAAGACGGCGACATCATTACTTTCCAGCGCGCAATCAAAGAGTCCGAACTGCCAGCATCGGCACTTTACACGGACGCTCGGCAATTCTACGATTATCTTTTGAACCGCATGGAAGTTCAATTCGCCCCGATCAAGACCAATGAGGGGAGACTTTCTACCTGACTCTCAGCCGCAAGATGACCTATGACCAGTTCGCCAAGAAGGTTGGTGAGCATCTCCAGGTGGATGAGACTCATCTTCGATTCGCGCCCGTGATGGCCAGTACTGGCAAGGCCAAGCCTTTCCTGAAGCGAAACGTCAATCAGAACCTCTCACAAATCCTTAACGGCCAATATGGTGCCTACGGGTACACCATGCACCGGGCAGACGCATTGTACTACGAGATACTGGACATGAGTTTGAGTGACTATGAGAGTAAGAAGTGCTTTAAAGTCACATGGCTGCCCGATGGTATCACCAAAGAGGTTCGTGTTAAGCATCCCCTATCCATGTCATTTGGATTCGGCTAACATTCAAGTAGGAAATTGTTGAGGTCTTGGTTTCCCGTAGCGGCACCGTGGCAGATCTTCTGGCTGCGTTGCAGCAGAAGCTGGAACTTGGCGAAGAGCCGATCCGGGTTGCCGAAACACACAGTGGGAAGGTCTATAAAGAGCTCCGGGAAGACCAAAACGTGGCTGCCATTAACGACTACGCCACACTCTACGCCGAAAAGATCCCATCCGAAGAATTGAATTTGGACACCGAGGATCGCGTCATTAGCGTGTTCAGCTTCGATCGCGAGCCCAACAGGACTCACGGAATTCCCTTCAAGTTCGTTGTGAAGCCCGGAGAACTTTTCGCCGAGACAAAGAAACGGCTGTCTGCCCGCACACAGATCAAGGGCAAGAACTTCGAGAAGATCAAGTTCGCTGTGGTCCCCCGGACATCTTTCTCTAACGCCAAGTATCTCGAAGATGGTGAGTGCCTTGTCGATTTCATTGGAAAAACTTCATTGGGACTAACTAACTCCTCTTAGGCGATATCTTGTCAGATGTAGCGGCTGGTGCCGACGACTTCCTGGGTCTTGATCATCCCAACAAGAGCCGGAGCTTCTGGGGCAAGAGTGATGGATTCTCCATTCGTTAAACAAGGGTTAAAGTCATGGCGCTTGGGGGTTACGAGTTGAAGGAGGGCTGTATGCTGCAATCCGGTACATTAGCAGCGACGCCCTGATGCGATGATCATGCCTTTTTCTTATTTTTGCGTATTATCTTATGTAACCAGCTGAAGTAGAAGACAACCCCGTCTATATGATGAGTGAAGATTGTTCATTTTCCCATGTGTCGTGCATCTCATCTACAAAATAGACTTGTGGAATAGTCCGAAGTCGATACATGCGGAAGTTTGTTTGGATGCAAACAAAACAAACAGCGGAAGACAAAGTTGGCCAGAACGCCATCTCCTGACGCGGATATCATCCCCAAGTCTAACGGTCCCCTCTTGGTATATCTTTCTCACAATGCGGTTCGCTCTTTTCGCCGGCCTGGCCTCCCTGGTTTCATCCGTCACCGCAACCGCCCTCACCTACAAACTCGATGCGAACGAGAAAGCATGCTTCTTCACGAACGTTGAGCAGAGCAACGCCAAAGTGGCCTTCTACTTCGCGGTAAGTCCAATTGATTATCCAGCTATAATACGTTTCCTCGTGATATTTTGTTTTAGTCGCGGGGCTATGGATACATGTGGTGGCACCGAATGCTGATATTGTACGATGCAGGTCCAATCCGGCGGTTCCTTCGATGTCGACTACTCCGTCAGCGCACCGGGCGGCAAGATCGTTCTAGACGGCACAAAGGAGCGCCAGGGTGACTTTGTCTTTACTGCCCAGAGCGTGGGCGAGTACACCTTCTGTTTCAACAATGAGATGTCCACCTTTGCCGAGAAGATGGTCGACTTCGAGATTGCCGTACGTTCCATATACACTTAAGGAACCAGTCCACAAATACTAATTGAGCGATTGGATCTACAGGTCGAGAACGAACAGCGCGCTCAACTGCCCTCCCGCCAGGGTGCTAGCCCTGAGCAAACCAGCAGTCTGGAGGAGTCCATCTATAAGCTATCCGCACAGCTCTCAACCGTTCTCCCGCAACCAGAAGTACTTCCGCACACGCGAGAACCGTAACTTCAGCACCGTGCGCAGTACCGAGCGTCGGATTTTCAACTTCAGTGTGATCGAGTCTTTGATGATGGTTTCCATGGCTGCGTTGCAGGTCTTTGTTGTGCGCTTCTTCTTCCAGGGCGCTCGGAAAGGTATGTTCACTTGTTCCCCGTATTTGAGGGTTGGATATGGACGCAGGTCATGGTCGTGTCCGGACTGCTTTGCCGCTGCTGTCTGTCCTATTTGGTTGATTCGTAATAACATTCTTTTGGAACAGGTTACGTGTGATGTGAGCATGAGCATGAACAATAATATGATGCATTTTACTACCTTCTTTGTCTGGCGTGTTGGCCTAGTTATTTCTGTTCCAAAATCTATGATGTTCCTGTCTGTCTAGAACCAAAATGGGAAATATACTCGGTATGGTAGCCCGTTGGTCGTAGGGCATGCCAAAAGAAAGCAATTGAGGTGCATGTTTGGTTTCTGAAGTAGCTTGGATTTATGAAGGTCTGTCATGTTGTGCTAGGTAGGGGGGGAGGTCGCAACCCACCAAGGGAAGATGGATTGTTACATCGGCAAGATCAAAAGACACCGGGGAAGCACATTCTCGATCGTCCCGATGGTATACGTTGTACGCCCGAAGCTCCATGCTCCATGCTCGGAGTGATATAACCGGTTTCCGTCGAAGGAAAGTCTCCAAATAGGAGGCCAGGTCGTCTGTCGCTGAACAACACCAGTAAGCACTGAACCATAGCGCAGCCGGGGAGGTGAGGGTGATCATTGCCGTAATACTACATTCTCGCTGCATATTCGCAGTTATGTAACCGGTTTCTGTTCGAACGAAGATTTCCGTCAGGAACCTAGATGGTCTTTGGCTGAGTCGAGACCGATGAAAAGTCGTGTCGACGGTGTGCTGGATCTGTTCTCGCGCTCTGTGTCTCTCCGGAGACAAACTATGTCAGGATAACCGCGCAGCCTGGGAAGCGGGTATTCGATGCTCTCAGAGACCGCACCTGTTTCTGAGTGGAAGTCTCCCGTTAGTATGTGGTATTAGGTGGTACGTGGAATGGCTTCCACCAATCTTTGCGACTAGAACGCAGAGCAGAGTCCTATACTGATCGAACCGCTTTCACGTCAGTTAGACGTTGCCTTCCAAATATATGAGGACAGAAAAGATGGTAAACATAGGTCCCGGTGCATTGATAAACGCTAGCATGTTGAGTGCTGTCCAGCTAAGGGGCAATGTTGTGTGCGTAGTACTACCAAGACTGACATCGGATCCAAAACAGGTTTTTGGCATATCTCTAGTCCGCAATATACGGTGGGCATGCAGCCAAATCCAGAGACTATCAATAATACATGTGTGGAGATAGGGTTGTCGATGGACGCTCAGGGACAGCAGGGGAAGAGCCTATGACGTGAGGCAACGCAGGTAAGAATCGGCTCCGTGCAATTAGATCGCTTCCAGTGGTATCATATGCTCGCTACGATGTACAACATACATAGTACGCCCTTAGTGCTCCTTTAGCCTACAATGATGCATCATAAGGATCGCCGTCCGAGGCTGCGGTGTGATATCATTTGAAATGCGCTGGGTACTGTCAATCTCGGAAGGCTCAAGTGCCGTTTGGACTGGTCGACATGCAGTACGGAGACATACAATGTTAGTGCGTATTTGGTTTGGGGCAGACCGAGTCTTGTCATAATACATGTCGCCTTGTGGGTTCGTACATTATTCAGGGATTGAAAGATTGAAACCAGGTAGGGAATGGAATGGAATAATGAAGAGAGTGGATCACGAAGGCTCGTTCAATGACATTTTATAGGCAGAGGAAGACCCGCAAGTGCACATTCAATGTTGAGGTAACGTCTATGTCTCGCACTTGTTTTTGACACGCTCCGCTGTTGATACATACATACATACATACATTATCGAATTCTGTCATATCTGAGATCAGACCCTTGCGGTGGAGGAGGGTGTTATGGTTCAAACACCATCAGTATTGTGAATTGGGCAAAAACACACGTACTCCACAAGTTTTGTTTGCGAGATGGCATAAAACTTGAGTCAACTCTGATATCACATTAGTATTGTAGTCTCTGCACCCACTTTACCAGAAGATGTCTCTCTAGTCTACATACTTGTAGTATGATAAACCCACTATGTTACTTACTTTGTCATAGACTGGTTCCAGCTGGATTAGACTGCTTCCTCCATGAAACCAGGTCTGGTTTGGAAAGTCAGGTGGCCGATCATGACTGTAAATGGCCATATACGTTGTATTCCAAACGCTTGTCTTACATCGCCGTGTTGCTCCTACACGAAACATTCCTCGTGGCAAAGTGACCCTATACGCTGGATATTAGCTCCGGCCTGCGCTAATATGTCACTAAGGTTGTAGTGTAGTGCGGCATCTTCATCTTGAGCAAAATGTACAACTACTGTAGGGACAAAGTATAGATGAATAGCTTTGATATCTTCGGTTTCATGTCTATGTTATAACAATTTGTCTTGCCCCGCTAGCATCAACTTCCGTCCAGGGTTCATGGATGGCAAATACTTACCTAGGAGTCCCCACTACCGTTCTTCTGAGAAGATATCCCTGCCACTGGCTCCCATGTTTCGTAGTGATCATTTATGTCAATCTCTTTCCGTGTAGGAACAAGTTGCACTCCAAATGGTGGAACTAGTTTTTGATATTGGAACGCAGTTTGGTCGCGAGCATTGACTTGAGTCAGAGTCTGGGATCCCTGATCCCGGTACATTACCTGTAATCTATATGTTGGGACTAGACAGATTTGACTATCTATATTACAGAGTAGGGGTGTGGTCAATATACAGTATTCAGGCACTATATAGTGTCATTTGAAGACGAGGGCTCCCTGACGTCAGCTGCCATATTCTGCCTCAGGCATAAACGCCAAGACTGTCCATTCCCGAAGAAATCGCTAGCTCATCTCCATACTCGGTACGGAGTAATGAAAACAGAAAATCAATTAAACCTGCGTAAACTGAATCTCCGCTGTGGCTGCTACCTCGGTAGCCTCCATGCTTTTGATACCTATGTACGATGTACAAACCGTTTCAAGCTCACATTTGAAGACCCATGAAACGTCCCACTTTTGATACTCAAATTAGTTTTCCAAGGTTCCAGGGTTCGCGTAACTTTGATTTTCCCTTTGCCATTTCCATCGGCAAATCTCGGTCACTTCCGGCCGAAAGACAAACCCAAATTGCTCGGGTCGATAAGGGGTATGACGACATAGCTAAGCCTCAGCTACGTTACTGCAAGCCTTTGTCTTTTGCAGTACGCCGTATGCCGTACGCATTTACTGCTTTAAGCCACACGGATCACTCCGTACTTGATTTGAGTACCTAGGTATGCATGTCGAGCTGATCAATATATTCAAGGCTACCACCCCCCGCGGCCTTGCAACAGCGTGTTTTCCCACTGGAGTCTCCACCAGCAATGTCCACATTTTCCTCCACAAGGACTATCCTGTGGCGATGCAGAATGCGAGATGGGCCTCGCCCTTCAAAAGGCCCCCTCAAGAGAGCCCATGATATTTCAATTATGATTCGTCCTGTAAACGTCAGGTAAAGATCTGCAGGGGACCGGACTGTAGTTGTGCCGATCTAAAACGCCATCGGCTCTCAATGGTCATTCACATTCCCCAGTGACCTCATCGGATCAAACCAATTCATGAAAGTGGAACAACTCATGATATCCCTCCTGGAGTTCACCAGTCTTTGTGCGCATGTGGACATTAGTTCGTTCACAACGTCTGCTGATGATGATTCGACCCCACATCGTGTTCTTGGACGTACCTAATAGGTCGACGTGGTCGCTTACCTACAACTTTCCAAGGTTGGAAATATTGAGGGCTGGGGTTTATGATGCTTATGATGTCGCCCAGGATAAAATACCCCCTTCCCCCTTTTGGCCAATTATGTCACAGTACTCCGGTGTAATCGGTAGAGATCTCTTGTTTACCATGGGCGAAAGAAAGCGAAAGAAATTAGATTCCTTGTTGGCCTATCAGAGACTGCAAAGCTGGGCGCGTTTGCCTTCTTCGACCATCCACCGGTATGATCCCATACTGTTGCGGATCCATGCGTGTCTTATATATAAACCTTGTCCCGCAAATTCGATCCTTCGCAGGTCGAACTCCTATATCTGCCGATAGCACTTTCCCCTACCATTTTATATCCTTGGCCCGAACATATATGCCGTTGGGCCTCCATTTAGCACATATTATCTTGCCTCCCTACGACCCTCAGTATCACTACTATCCAATACAACCGAAACTGGTTAGACCTTGAAAAATATTCCATCACAGGTGAGCAATCTTAAATTGACTGGGATACCGGTACCATCTGGATTCCCCACGGCACCCGCAACCCAACCTCCACTTCACGGTGATCGTCCTGTACCTCAGCCTCATCCCTATGCCGTCATATATTATACCCAGACTACCACCCTTAATGATGCTTTTCACCAGCTCTCCTGTCGCTGCTCCATGCCTAGTCCTGAAACATGAGCTGACCGTTTCAACCCTAGACATTTTTCACCATGACTCATTCCGCTCAAATGGAACAAGCAACCGAAGACATCCACTCCATGTTCCCAGACTCCGGTGCTATGGAAAACATGGCTGGTGAGACTCTGGTCGAATCTTACCAGTCGCTAGACCCCGCTCGCGCCCTGCTGGAAGACTACAACCGTTCCATGCTGCAGTACACCCAGCGCCAAATGTCTTCCTTCGTCGACACGGATGACACTCGTCGCAATAGCCAGAGCAGCGGCCAGAGCGGTCGCAGCAGCGCCTCTAGAGGCAGCAGTATGTCTCAACAGGCGAATCCATCTTTCACATCCGTCAGCAGTGCCGCGCACCCTGTCGAGACTAAGCTCAGTGGCCGCGACATGACTGCGGCCAAGTCGGCTGGATATTAGAGATGTGCTTTGTGTAAAGGTATGCATGTGCTCTCATATTGATAGCTTCAGTGTACAAGAAAGCTAACGAAAGTCTTTACAGTGGTCCTATTCTACAAACGCCGTGATCTAGCATCATAACGACACATATCATTGGCGAGCTGTTATCAACAGCCCCATATACTTTCCGCCAATGCCCACCCAGACGCAGAATTTCCTGCGGAGTTCTATGATTCTATGAGATTCGCGGGGACAGTGTGCTTGCTTTCAAGCGATATATTGAATGTTCTTTGAGTTTGATTTCCACATGGCCTCGACTCGTCGGGGTCGATCCCTTTCTACCCACTTTTTACTTTGCATAGCGTCTTCAGGATATTGATTGATCCTCAGCACCCAAGATGTTTTGCCTCCCTACCTTGTCATTTCCTTGACATTATTGTCTGTGTCTGCTTTGGAGTTGCTCATGGAATTGGAGGGCAATCTACAAACGATATTTTACGTCCATTTCGAACATTTCTCGAACACTGTCTATTCTCCTGCGGTATGCGGTCTGCGGTCTGGGTAGGTGGTCAAACCATCCCTTTTGCTTGGTATTCCTTCTGGAAAGGGATATCGGCCTGTGCATTATCTGTATTTGTACTTCTTGCCAGCGAATTTGTTCTTTGTTTTTATTTCATGATGATCAATTGTCCTCCAGTGAGGACACTGGACTGTCCCCCGGGAGAACTATACCCTGTTACGAATACTACCTACAACATATCAATGTTGGCCATTGACGAACTGTACAACTATGTGCAGTCAAACCGCAGCAGACTTCAGTGTTGTCTTTTCGATTTGTGTTTTTCCTCTTTCTTTCCTTTTTTTGGCTGGACAGAGACTGTAAACCTCTGAATTGCCTGTTCTGGTTAGGTTTGCCTTTCTGGGTTTAGCACTCACGCAGTCACAAACCTCACTCATGATGCTCCTGGCATAAAAGACCCGACGCTTCGGGAATAGAAATACCGTAGTACCAGGACAAGCGATGCCTACAGATAGAGTTACTGGAGAAGGCACGGCGTCTGATATGAAGAGTCGAAATATCTCTCGAGGGAGATCTTATTAGACCTTTAGCCATCACTCCAGTTGTGTAGCTTCCCCAGTTCTGAGACCCTTCTCGACGACCTCTATATCTCGGAGCAGTTCCTCGGCAGATTCGTATTCCTTCAGCCAGCACTTCGAAGTAATGGCACTGCATGCATGCGAATCTTGTGGGAACTGCTGCTTTTCAAACTTCTCTCGGACCTTATCATACCACCCCTCTTCCTCATCGACAATTTCAGGAAAGACGGCATGACCCATCATGATCAAGTAGATAGTACAACCCAGCGCGAAGAGATCTGCTCTTGATATCTGCATCAAAAGGATCGTCTCGAGGACAATAGAACCTGGTAGGCTCGCTGCTTAAACCATCACGCAGTACTGTTCCATCCGCTGATCTGAAAATCCGACAGCTTGATATGAAGCTCGTCATCAAGGAGAAGATTTGTAGGCTGGATATCGCAGTGAAGGACGCCCCGAGAATGGATCCATGCAACTGCCTCCGCAGCCTCTCGACACCAGGATATCCGCTGCTGGAGTGGGGGTCGTTGTCTGATTCGAGAGATAGTAAGCTAAGGTTCCATTTACAGCTCGCTCGAGGTAGTAGAGCCCGTCGGACGAGAAACTCTTGAGCCCTATGATGCGTTCATGGGGCCCGACAATTTCGAGAAGCTTTTTCTCGATTTCGAGCCGACTCATGTCTCCTCCTGGGGCGAGGGGATATTTCATGACTGTTGACTCGTCTACTTCTCCAACGAAGGCACTGCCTCCTGAGGCGATGACCTGCTTCACTGTTGGGGGGGCAGTACACCTGGTATACGAACACTCGGTCCGCTTTTGTCTCGTCCCACATGGCGAGTCAGGGAGAGATATATGGATGAAAGATCTTGGTAAATTCCGTATTTATGGTGATAGCAGAAGTACATATAGTACGTGAGACCAAGTAATTGACTTGGATGTTCTTAGAAAGAAGCGAGAATCATCAGGGGCTGAAGTTGGGAACAATCAGTTGGGCACAGTTTCAGCCACACGGAAACACATAACCCAGTTAGAGGCACATAATTCGTCCGATAGAAAACGCCTATACTCCCTTCTGCTAGGAAACTGAAATTGTATTATCACTTCATAGAAGTGATATAAATTGTAGATTAATGCAGAACGAAACTGTTGATTCCTTTCTCTGAAGTAGTGAGGTATAGAGGTCCTCGAGTATCGACTAGACAGAGCTAGAAAGCCCGGTTTAGCTATTTCAGAATATTTTTTGGAGAGACTAAAAAAAAGGGTATGCACTAAGCGTTTCTCTCACTCACGTGGGTGTTTGCAGATTAGAGATGCGAACAATATGAGGTTTGTTAGATACTCTAGTATATAGGGTTCAGGCGCAGCTTGATGATCATATTCGAGTTCATTAATATTTTATTTCATGTTGGAACTAGGACATATTCCTAGTCACATCAATTAAGGGTAAGGCCTCCATTTTGTTCCGAACATCTTTGACATATATGTGCGATTTCCTATTTTATTGACGTGGGTGATAGATCAAGCTCTCTAGTGAATTCCCTCTCAACTCGCTGCACTTCACTTCAAAGAACGCTCCAGTCTAAACAGAAGGGTCATGTCGCGTCGTGCTGAAGAGCTGCGTGCCTAACGCACCCCTTGCATACCTCCCGAAGGAGAATCCAATACCCTCGCAAGGACCTTGTCCTCGCAAGAGTTGTGTCATTGAACATGAAATGGGCAAAGACACTATGAAATTATTGCTGTGACTAAATTGCATCTTTTTATGTTCCAATTGACTCTGCTTTACATTGCAGTCAAAGTATAGACATGTTCCATTCGCAGATATGAACAACACCAAAACCAGAGCCCACATACCAGAGAACGAGTATGGCTCAACTGAGGAGCGAATCCAGGCCATACCGTGTCTATCTAAACAGAGGGATGAAACCCCTGGAATCCGGGATTCGACCATGAGCCAACCAAAACCGCCCAAGGGAGGAAGGCAGAAGAAAATCCAGTGGGCTTGCTGAGGGCAGGACCTCCGGGAAACCGAGCATTGCATGCATTGAAGGTCAACATCGTGTTCTTGTTTCTTCCCCTCTAACACACCCATCGACAACCTTGCGACAACCAACCCGGCCCAGCTCCAGCCATTCATTTTGGTCTCATTCTGAGACCACCACACACTCTTTTAACCCACTGCCCTAACATTGCCCTTCATTTCGGATATTCGACTCTCATAGCCATCGCGGCGTGGCAGCTAGGGCCTACAATATCTACATCGACTCACTCTATACTTTTCACACCTATACAACAGCACAGAATCACCAAAATGCACCTCACAACTCTCCTCACGGGCCTCGTATCCCTCCTATCCGTCACCACCGCCATCCCAATGGCAAGCGACAAACCAACTCCTACATCCGTGTCCAAATCTCTCATCTCGCCCTCGAGCTCAGCCTCGGTTTCAGCCTCGGCTACTCCCTCGCCCAATCCCTACGAGGCCTACACATGTCCCAAGGGGAAGTACAAGTCCTGCTGCAAGTCTGTGGAGCAGACAAGCAACGACCTTATCAAGCCGCTCGGCGAGTTGGTGCCAATCGTGAGTGGGCTGGAGATTAGCTCGGCTCTATCATTCGAATGTATGTTGCATCCTGCCCTTTCTTTTGTATAATCTTGCAAGTTCGATAATTTCATACTAATCAAACCTACATTGGTAGGCAAGCACATGGCCGAAAGAGACGCCCCTGATACCTGCAACGGAAAAGGGTTTTCTCCCATGTGCTGCAGTAACAAGATTGAGGTATGTATTCTTTTTCTACGTCTCCGAGGAAAAGAATCCATGAATGTAGCTGACTGTTCTTCTCTTCTAGGATAGCGGATTCAACACGTGCAAGCCTTTCGCGGAGGAAAAGAAGAATTACTATGCGAGTCAGATGAAGAATAAACCAGAGTCGAATGTTGATGTGATCATGGATGTTCTCACCTGATGTTGATCACCTGGCGGAATGGATCTGTGACATGGGATGAGTGCGGATGTACTGTTGGAGTTGAACTGGTGATTCGGGGGGGAGAGTGCTGGTTGACGTTTGGTTTATTTTGCCATCCTACTTGATATTATATGGACACCTTGCCTGTGGTAGTTTGGTTTATGCAGGTTACGGTGTGTAATTGCATGGCACACTTCTATAGGTGGTTACTTTCTATTTCTTTTCATCCTCGCAGGCTCTGCTATACATATTTGTAGATTTCTTACTCTGTTACTCCATCAATAACGTTTGAAGAGGTTATCGCAGTTTACTATGTTACTCCATACCAGCTGTTGATATTCCTGGAGCATTCTCCATCTGACATGCACATGGCTTGGATGTTTGAAACTACTTTGGAGCAAAGCGCCAATATAACGGTAACTTACTTGAAATGCAAGAGATTAATGTACTCTTTCATATTGTTTTAAATGAACATGAATAACCCGCCGCAGCGGGGCCGTAATCATACAAACCGTGGCCTTGGAAGGCCTGTCTTCCCCTCGACTCAATTCGAGTCGACTGCATTTCAAGCATAACTCGTACATTGTTTCACGTGCACATGTGCACATGTTTATTGCCAGCCGCGCCCGCCCTGGGGAGCAGGTCCCCATGGCCCACCCTGCTGACCAGAATAAGGAGGAGGGAAGTGATATTGACCCGGGGGCATACCGTACCCCTGTTGCTGTCCCTGGTTCTGTCCTTGCTGCATGGGAGGAGGATGGTATGGAGGAGGGAAGGCTGATGCTGAAGACCCGGGTCCGGGTGGGGGGAATGGCATTGCCGGCATGTATGGAGGAGGCGGAGGCCAAGAACCATAGTTGGGTGCAGGTACTTGTGGATAGCCGGTGCCAGGACCCATAGGAGGATGAGCATACTGTCCACTGGGGGGATGAGCAGTGGAGTAGGAGTTGATGGGTGCGGAGGGATGTTGAGGTTGGTGAGGGGGAGGGAAGTGTGAAGTGGACGGTTCCTGAGGAGTGTAGGAGCTTTCGCGGCTTCGTGAGCGTGGAGAGCGGCCTCGCGATCGTGCGTCATGGCGACGGAAACCACGTCTGTATGATCGTGATCCACTTGGAGATCGTGACTTGGACTGGCTGGTGGAGCTGTCGCTGTAGCGTCGGCGCTTGTTATTGGTTCGTGATCCACTACTGCTGCGGGTTCGGCCGCGCGAGTCCTCGGTGTCTGTATCTCCGGGTTGACAGAATTCAAGGGACCATCCGTGGTAGTGCTCGCCATCGAGGATGTCGCCTGTGTTCTCACCCCGGATGACTGTCTGGCCCAGCGGATCGAAGTCTGCATCTCTATCATCCGCAGCGATCTCCGGGTCGAAGAGCTTGTTCACATCGTTGAGGAAGTCTTTAAGGGATGCTATCAACTTCTCGTCGGCGGGACCTGCTAGTAACTGTATCGGTTTCGTGGCATCAGGTCGGATGGGAATAGCCGAGTTGGGAATAATGTGAGGATAAATGTTGCCCGCACGAACTTCGTGCCAAGGTGTCGATGGATCCCCGTGTGTAGATGGCATGACAAAGGGCACATTCTTGCCGGACTTCTTTGCTGGGTTTAACCCGTTCGCCGCATCGGTCGAAGGCAGGGGAATCCCCATAGTCACGACTTCCCGAAGTTTGTTGACTAGCTCGGGATGAAAGTAACCGTGCTCAGACCAGAGATCTAGTAGATTGTCCAGCCGTCGATGATACCGTGGGTTCTTTTGGCGATCACAGCTGGCTGCGTAGCCGACCAAGTTCACGAGATGCAGCTGCAGGGACCCGCTCACTGTGGAGAAGGTTGCCGGGGTATCTAGGTGGTACTTGCAATGATGCAACAGATCATTGAGCAAATACAGTATGTGGAGGCCATGGCGCTTCGTAGAAGGTTTGGACCCGGTGGGCTTGGATGGTGGGAAGGATGCAGCGAGAGCTTCGAGGTATTTGACCAGACCCCCTACCCTGATTAGATGAAAATGCGACAAAGCGAAGCAACCAGGCTTTACAGGTCTGTGTGGGGAAAGAGTGTTTAGTAAACTGAGACGTGAGAGTTAACGGAGGTGACAACGGCTCAGACCTGAATGTTGGCTGGGGAGCAATGCGACAACGCGCGCTCGAGGGAACTGTGAAACACGCTTATCTCATCGCGAGGAACAGAAGTAGGATCAGGACGCAATAGGCAAGCTGCAAACGCAGCCTTGAGAATAACAACACCGTGAGTTGTCATCTTTGCCGATCTCACGATCTTTTGAAGGAGAGAAAGAATCCCATTACCCACATTATTGTCATGACCCCGATCCCGTTATCGAAGCTCTTATCGGCACGTGATTTGTATACTTTTGTTTAACCCGGCTACCTACTTAGGTACTTAGGTATGTACAACATACAACATACATAAATGATGTATGTATGTTGTACCCCCGTACTCCGTATGGTTCAATTGTTGTTGAGGCTCCCCTAATGTATTATTCAAATGAATTCTGCTTCACAATTGCTCACAGTCTCAAGATATATCAGAGTTACCAGTTTATCAGTCTATTATTCAAATATCATTGAGAAGTGAAGAGATCGGGACTCAGTTCCCGGTCTATCCCCGGTCTGTATATTCCCCGCAGTTAGCGAGGTCTAAAGCCTCAAAAGATCCCCCACACACTTTGCGACTTGAAACCCCGCGATGGCGTCAGGGCTTGCCGACAATCCCGAAATGAAACATAAACTGATTCTATTCGATGTAAAAGTGCCGATCAGCCATGCCTAAACCATCTGATCACGGATGAGCATTCCCATTAAGGATCAGGCCATATATCTGCCCCGCAATGTCCGGATCACTTGCGGTTGCATGGCCTGACTGCTAATCTGCTAAGTTAATCTGTTTTATATAAAGTCTTGCCTGTCTTTAATTCTATTTTCTCTTCTACACTGCTCTATCCTGATTTACAAGTCTACTCTCAAATCAAAATCAAATCAATCCAAAACCAAGATCAAGACCATACCCCTCAACAGAGTATTATACCACTATGGCTTCCATCCTCGCCTCCCAAGTCATCCGTCCCTCCATCCGTCACTTCTCAGCCCACCGTCCTCGTCCCGACTCTCGCGCTGCGCGCGCCGTCGCCATGGGTTGCATTGTATCCGGTGTGGTACTGCCATTTGTCCCACCTGCTCTGGAAAGCTCCCGACAACGGAGCTCAGGAATAGCTACTAGCGCCAAGTAAGGTTGAATATCTACGAAATTTTGCAGTCAATGCGAGCTGGTGTGGGGAAACTAACGATTTACAGGAACCCCCCCACTTTGCTTCCATGCGCGCTAGTCGCCACACTCTTGACGACTCGCCGTCTTGGCTGGGATTGTCGGTGCAGGCGCCGGCACAGGACCTAGTTTGCGACGTGATGCATTATGCCCAAGGAGTTTGGAATTCGGCGTTCTGGTTCTCCTTTTGACGAGCACTATGAGATGGTGCTATTACCATACTTTATTACTATTGAGCGTGGAGATGGTCAGGCCCCTTTCCACCATCACTATGAATGACAGCGGTCGTTAGATAGCTGATTTTACACGAATTGGTCCATTGCTGTACTGATTCTGAGCTCGAGTAAGATTCCATTGAGCAATGAAGCAAATGTAGTACAAAGTAGATCGAGTCTGAGGGGCTCTTCACCTCGATATTATTCACCATCTTTCACAATCCTCTATTTTTCAGTTTGTGTACGGAGTATTCCAAGTATTCCATATCAAATAGTATACAATGCAGTCAGCCGATCAGCTAAACCGGTTCCCGCTCGGAGGCCGGTACGGCTGTGACGTTTCATATTTCCCCTTCTCCAACACACGGTCGGCATCGGTCAAGGGTTCGTGCCGAGTTGGCGCCGGATCATGAGAAGCTTCGGCACTTGGTGAGGCGGCATCGTCGGAGGCGTTCTGGAATCGTGCCATGCTCGCTCGTTTCGAGCTAGTGTCGTTGCCCGGGGTTGGTGCCGACGCCAATTGCGCTTTGCGCTTGTGCTCATCCTCCATTTGCTTCATTTGGGCCTTGCGCTTGACTTCGGCTTCGAATCGGGCTTGTCGGTCGGCGTTGATCGATTGTTTTGCGAAATAGTACGCTCCGCCGCCGGCTACAGGGGAGTTGGTTAGTTGCTTCTTCACTCGTGGATAGCTGGATTTGCCAATAGTCCTTGGCCAGCAATCAATCTATAGGTCACATACCAAGGCAAAGGGTGCCCCAGCCCATCCTGTTCAAGCAAGAGTCACATCAGTAATTATGTTCCAGTTTGTTTGTATTTCATCTTTCAGATAGAGACATCTTCGCTCACCAGGTAGATCGAATCTAGAACATGACACAATTAGCAACAATAAAGAGGCATTGGACAGAGGAAATTACCGTATTCATGGTGAACAGTCTGGTAGTGATGTGTGTGAAGCAATAGGAAAAGGACTCGGATGCTCTACGTCAGTCCCGAGTTCCGCTACGCACGGACCGATGACTTTAATTGGTGCCTCAGGCCAATGATTATCAATCGCATCGCCTTTGGGACTTTGGAATTAAGGACGACTTTTGCCTCGATCTTTTTCTCCATCGTATTTATATCATCGCTAGAGCAACGCTGCTCTCACTCCTCTCCCACTGAATATTTTATTTCCTGTTCATCGGCCCTTTCCCGTCGTCTCGCAATAAACCGCATATCTCTTTTCGCCGCCTGTTCATCCGGCGCAGCATCTTGGTTCCATGCTGCCGTGAGATACTTTTAACGGGGGCGTTGCTCCGCCTCACCGGTGACTCACTCACTGAGATACAAGCTATTTGATCAGAATTTCCACGCTGTTCTGTCTGTCTTGCTGCACAGACTCCAAACATGCCCCCCCAAACGGAAAGCGGCTGACAGTAAGTTTCTGGTGCATATCTCCAAACGACAGGTGACTGATTATATGCAGCTGGTCGGTCTAGCGGTGCTTCGAAGCGGGCTACACCAGTCCCCGATATCGACATCTCCAGCGACGATGACTACTCGGACCACGAAGAGTTGCCAGAGGAAACCAACTTGAAAGGTACAGTGTGGCGGTCTGCTCACCTAAAGTGAACTAGAGACTAAAATTGGAGCATAAAGCGGTCGTCAATAAGTTCTCCCTCGAGGCATTCAGCAAGAAGAACCAAGTGGAGAAGACGGACCCTAGATTTGGGTACAAAGATCTTTCCTCGCTCCCGCTGAAGCGCGACCACTACAACCGGCCGTTATGGATCGAGCCTCTGAAAGGCACAATCACCCTCGAGAGTTTCTCCCCGCTGGCACCTCAGGCCCAAGATTTCCTGACAACTATTGCGGAACCGCTTTCTCGTCCGACCCATCTCCACGAATATCGCTTGACGGGACACAGTTTATATGCCGCGGTCTCGGTCGGTCTCAAACCGCAGGATATTGTTGAGTTCTTGGACCGTTTGTCGAAAACGCCGCTGCCCGAAAGCATTCGGACGTTCATCATCGAGTTCACGAAGTCCTATGGAAAAATCAAGATGGTGTTGAGGCATAATCGATACTACGTGGAAACGACAGATCCTGAAATGCTTCAGCGGTTGCTGAAAGATGAAGTGATTGGGCCCCAGAGGATGGATAGCACCGAAGGAATTATTGAACGGGCTGCTCCGAAAATGGGTGGTCTTGTCATCCCTGGAACGAAAGATGCAGCTGGTGTACGAGAGACCACTCAACAGGAGGCTGCGGCTGCCGTAGCTAGAGATGAGGCGGAAGAAGGAGGGGCTGTGAACTATGGAATCGACGACATTGGCGAGGATGAAACTGAAGAAGCAATCACTTACAGTTTCGAAATCCCCGCCGCTGGTGTCGAAGTGGTCAAGGCCCGATGCCAATCGATCGGATGCCCTGCCCTGGAAGAATACGACTTCCAAGGAGACACGGTCAATCCAAATCTGGATATGGATTTGAAACCCGCAGCGAGGATTCGGTCCTACCAGGAGAAGAGCTTAAGTAAAATGTTCGGTAACGGACGAGCGAAGAGTGGTATTATTGTGCTTCCTTGTGGTGCCGGCAAAACCCTTGTGGGTATCACTGCCGCGGCGACCATCAAGAAAGGCACTATCGTCCTCTGCACCAGTTCCATGTCCGTGGTTCAGTGGCGAAACGAGTTCTTGCGATGGACAACCATCGACCCGGGCGATATCGCCATTTTCACATCGGACCACAAAGAAAAATTCAAGCGGTCTACTGGTATTATTGTGTCCACATACTCAATGGTGTCACAGACCCGCGCCCGGTCTTATGATGCCCAGAAGATGATGGACTGGCTTCAATCGAGAGAATGGGGTATGATGATTCTTGACGAGGTGCACGTCGTGCCGGCATCGATGTTCCGAAAGGTCACATCTGCAATCGCCGCACAGAGCAAGCTTGGTCTCACCGCAACATTGCTACGTGAGGACGACAAGATCAAAGATTTGAACTTCTTGATCGGGCCGAAACTCTACGAAGCGAACTGGATGGAACTGGCTGCACAGGGCCACATCGCCAAGGTCCAATGTGCCGAGGTGTGGTGCCCGATGACGACCGAGTTCTATTCTGAGTATCTACGGGAAAGCTCCAGGAAACAAGCTCTGCTATACATCATGAACCCTCGCAAGTTCCAAGCTTGTCAGTTCCTGATCGATTTCCATGAGAAGCGCGGCGATAAGATCATCGTCTTCTCTGATAATGTCTACGCTCTCGAGCGATATGCGCTCAAGCTGAACAAGGCTTATATCTACGGTGGCACTCCTCAAAATGAGCGCATGCGTATTCTGGAAAATTTCCAACATAACGAGCAGGTCAACACTATCTTCCTGTCCAAGATTGGTGACACCTCGCTCGATCTGCCTGAGGCCACTTGTCTGATCCAGATTTCGTCTCACTACGGTTCGCGTCGTCAGGAGGCCCAGCGTCTGGGACGAATTTTGCGAGCCAAGCGCAGAAATGACGAGGGCTTCAATGCTTTCTTCTACTCGCTCGTGTCCAAGGACACTAATGAGATGGTCTACTCGGCCAAACGTCAGGCATTCCTGATCGATCAGGGTTATGCCTTCAAGGTCATCACCCATCTCCAAGGCATAGACAATTATGAAGGACTTTCATACGCAACGCCAGCGGAACGCCGTGAGCTTCTACAAGAGGTCATGTTGCAGAATGAGTCATCCGCCGACGTCGAACAGGTCAATGATGATCTGTTCTCGATGCGCTCCGGCAAGCGAGTGACAGCCAAGAAAGCCGGTCCTAAACGCAGTGCTGCTACTCTTAGTGGTCTGGCTGGTGGTGATGATATGGCCTATATCGAATACAACAAGAGCAGGAACAAGCAGCTCAAGGATAAGGCTGGGCACCATCCGCTGTTCAAGAAGATGGAACGAGACCGACAGCGCCGCAAGAAGGAAAGGGAGATGGAAGGCTAAAAGCTGAAATGCGTTACTGTTTTTGCTTTCCTTTTTTGGGCGCGTAGTCTTTGACCTTTCTCTTGCGTGCACCCCAGAATGACAGATACCCCGAATAACCACCGTGTGTTATAAAACGAACAGTTAAAAATAAGAAGACCATTTGTACTATAGAGGAACCTTGGAACCTAGACCTCGAACCTTCGTAAGCATCAAATAAGTCAGCAAATAAGTCGGTAAATAAGTCAGCAAGACCGGTCTGGAAATCACGGGCCCAGCTGACTCCCATGACGTTGATCGTGGCAACGGAGAGCCGAAAGGCCGAATTCTCCGCTTTTCGTATTTGGAGCTCCATCATTAGTTCCACTTGAGTAATTGTATGACTCTGATAGGTTCCATTGGTTGAATTGGTTTTCCTGGAGAACTGTCTAGCTATCCCTGCCAGTTGTACAGCTCCAGTTATCATACACCGGATGGCGTGGGCTATATAAAGGACATGCTTCCCCGCGTTCTTCAGTGTCACAAACATCATTTGTTCAAATCAAAGCCTACAGCTACAGACAAGACTCGGTTTCTCTTGCTGAATAGTACTCGCTGCTATTCCAGTCTTCGTCCACCGTTTCAAACATCCGTCTCTTCTGCTTCGACATATCCACGCGCTCTACCCCTTCCGCAACTAGTCACCCAGTACAGCTCGTATAGTCCTACCACCGGGAATACATCCCGCATTACTTCATCCGGAATGGCCACCGCTACTAAAATCGATCTGTCGCCCGTGACAGACTCGGGCATCTACAGCTCGAATGTGAGGGAGGACACCGCGCAGACAGCGAGCGAGATCTTGCAGGAAGACATGGCCACCCACCATGTCTTCTTCAATGACCAACATTTCCATAGTATGTGCTTTCACGCTAAATCCCACCAAGAACCATGTCTAATGCAGAGACAGATCACATACCGCATCAGCTCCTTAGTATCTATGCTCTTGGCGCAGGGCCAGAGGATATCAAGGCTTGCTATGAACGGAATAAAAGTTACCAGAGACCCGTTCTTCCAGCCAGCCAAGATGTCATTCAATCTATGCATGATGTCGCTAAATTCCAGGAACACCTTGGAAAGGAAGAAAATTACCCTAATTACCTCGCTTTCTTCCAGCATGAGATCGATGCAAAGGGCGTCGGTGGGGTTCTGGGGGAGTATTTATTCGCCGGGGACGAGCGAGCTGAGAATATGATGTGTCGGTTGTTTGCTGGTAAGTATCTCTCGGTTATATTGCTGTTCTATGTTCCTCGGGCTAATCAATTCAGGTCTCGTTCATCCACTCATCCACCTCGGTTTCGGGATTGAATTCAACCAGCCTGCCATTGTAGCCCAAGGCCTTGCTCAAACAGCAGTTCACGACGACTGGCTGGGTCGTGCGTTCTTCCTACCTGCGGAGAAGATGGCAGGTGGCGTCGGAAAGCCGGGACAGAAGTCGCTGCTCCAGCTCATAAATGAGATGCGGGCTGACAAGGCTCTTGTTCAGAGCGTTCAATGGTCCGACTCTAATAAGATCAAGGATGGAGTGCTCCATAGAGCACCGGAGCAGATGCTGAAGTATGCTTCTCAATTTACTGTGTCTGAGGATCAGATGGAGGAGCGGTTGGCGGATATGATCAATACAGTCGGTAAGTCTAGCCTTGGAAGTACTTGACGATACTGTTTGAGTGGTGTGAGCGAGGAGCTATTGCTGATGGTATCTCAGCCTACTATACCGGTGCCGCCCAGCGTCCGACCAGAGAGATGAAGCTTGATTTCTTCTTGATCCATTGCGTCAATTCGTCTATCTTCTTCTCTAAGATTATCAATCTCCCGTCCTTGAACCAGCGATCCAAGCTGCGCATGCTGGAGTGGAAGGGACGCGTCGATCTCCTGATGTATACTTCACGTGGAACGCCGGACCTTCTGCTGGATGAAGTGGCCAATTATCCTATGAAGGAGGACTGGTCACAGATATTTGCGCGAAGCATCGCCCATCCTGGTGACGATGGTCATCTAGCCAAGCTAGCACGGGCTTTGGCGCATGGTCAAAAAGTCTGCCAGGCATACGAGAGCAAAAACCCTGAGATGCCGATCAAAGGAGATATGTGGCTCAGGATTGGGAATATAGGTAAGCAGCAGGGCTTGACGTTATATATTCAAATCACTAACTGCTCGATAGCTGTTGACTCTACTGTCCATGAGGGAGATAAGCCAATGTGGGTTCGTTCTACTGGATTCGATGAAGCTTGGGAACAGGCGCATATCTGAGAAGGACAACACGCCGCCTTCGTGAGGATATTTCATTCTTCTTTCAATGTCTCAGAAAGTTATCATCTAATAACAGATTGGTATAAAAACAAAATCATCTGCAACTACCTATCTATGGATCTATATACATACAATTTAGGGAACAAGCCCCCATTAATAGGAATAGTCACTACCCCATAGAAAGAACGACCCACAAAGGCAACTGGAAACCGCAAACAACTACCAATGAATGCTTTTGAGATGGAAACCATCTCCAAACCCACTCGCACTAGGGAGAAGAGACCTCGAAGTGGCCTACACCGATCCCTGCCATGTATTTCCTTTAGCAAAGGGGAAATACTGGACTTAACAAGGGTTTGACAAACAACCCAGATGTAAGTGTTTCTACGAACTGATATCGTACTAATTCATCTATATACAGGGCAGCTACACAATCACATGCAGCCCGTCCTTATCTTTTCTTCTTTTCCTTTCCTCTTTTCTTTCTTTCTCCAGATTAAAAAGCATTCAATACCACATATTGATTTATCCTCTTCTTCTTCACTTGTTTTTCTTTCTTTCTTTCTTTTACTTCTACAATATGGCACGTGCCGGTGCAGCTAACGCCGCCCGCGGCCAGGGTGGCCATGGACAGGTCCAGGTGCTTACTTGCTATATCTTATTCCATTCTTAAGGCGCTAGGAGCCCTTGGAGCCCCTTGGCTCCTTGACCCTAGAAGCTTTAGCCAAGTCCATATTCGCGTGCTAATTGATGATATAATAATAGAAGGAGCCCCGAACTTGCCACTACTGCTATCAGCGTGGTCACATCCTGGCTAATTGCCCAACCGTAATGGCTATCCAAGGCCTATAGACGGAAAAATATGAGAACAAGGACCAAAAAAAAGGCACCAAGAAGGCATGGCAACTGCAGACCCTGCCGGAGACAGACATCTGAGACTCTCATATCAGAAAGACCATCTCCACACAAAATGAAGAAGAAAAAAAAGGCTAGGCTGGGAAGTCACCAGTCACCAGGTGAAACATGAGTACACCATTATGCATTTGAAGTCAAGAATGGTTCCGCATTAAATTTCCTTAGCATGGTCGATTAGTCTAATGCGGTTGTATTGCCCTCACTTCTCCTTGCCTATGGGTATCTCGCAATTCATACACTCTGGCCAATATAAAAATATATGAACATCTACTTTGAGAGGTTGAACTACGGTTCTCGGCTTTGGCTGTGGGGCGCTAAGCTTGGAATGACGCCAGCGGCTCAACACAAATGTTCTTTTGTATAGAGTATATATGTAGTATGTTAGTAGAACAGTTTTCAAGGTAAATTAAATTAGGAAGAAGAACACAGAGTATTGTATATAGTAAAGTCATATAGAGGAATAGGGAGGAAAACAGAACATTGAAAAAAACATGGCAAAGACAAAAATACATTGGGGATCACGTGGTTTCGAGTGGGGCTCCCCAACATGTATTCACCTTTGCATCTCTTCACTTTTCTTTCCATCAGCATACCAAGGTAGTATCTATTGTTATTCTCGGATCTTGCCATCATGGGCAACGAAGACATCAATCGCAAGGACATTTCCACCCAGAAGGACTGGGCTGATGATGAGAGCAACCCGTTCGTCGCCTTCCGGCGCTACGCCGATGAGCAGGTCTCCACCATGCTTCAATCTATCACGGGCCTCCCTTCGATGGTGACGCAGCCTCACAACGGCCACTGGGATATATTCGCAGATTATAACGGCTACCAGAGTCGGATGGCCCGTCAAAGAACCAGTGAAAATAACACGGACAGCAGCAGCTATCCAACAGACCGAGACAGTGGAAGTGGTTATTCAGGCAACAGAGATGGAGATGATCAACGCAACTATGGAAACCATCCAAGACCACGCTGGCCTGAGAATGATGATTCGTGGAGGAAGTGGTATAATGGACCATCCGACTTCTTTGGCCTCGATTCCTTCTTCGACCGGTTCTTCGAGGACCGCTTCTTCCCTTTTGCATCGCACCTCCTACACTCCGGCCAGAACCTTCTTTTCCGGGATATGTTTGAGGACACTGACTCCCCAACCTGGCCGATCGGGTATATCTTGTTCAGCCCGTACTCGCCCCTCAATCTAGAACGTCAAGCACAATACCAAGCGCACCGTGAAAAGGGCGTTTTCTCATCCATCATGTCATCTTTGCATCTCAACTCCGACCGTGACCCTTCTGAACCGCAGTGGCGAGAAGCCTTCGAGGATTTACTTCGACTCGAGAACGATAAGCCGATGCTCGATCATAATGCCTCCGTCACGAAATCCGAGTCCGGAAAGGATTGGCTACAAGGGCTTGTTAAACGAGGAAGCTTGGGAGATAAGTGGAAGTATGTGTCTGGTAGAGACGGCCACCCTTGGTCAGGAATTACGTTCTCTGGCCGTGTAGGTCCAGGGCAGGACCAGTCTCGGTCTCTACCCGAGAAAGAGAAAGAACCTGCAGATACGGAGGCTGACAGCGAGCTCGACCTGTATGAGCGATTCTTGCATGACATCGAGAGCCGCGAACGTGAGTTCTTCCGCGGTGTCTCCGAAAGCCCTCTGCTGCGTCTCCTCCTCGAGGACCGACGGCAGCAACAGGAAGAACTTGACAAATACAGACGCGGCCTTCCAAATGCGAAGGATGAACACAGCCGTGATGATAATGAGAATTGGATCGATCTTGTGTCTGGCGGAAACAAAAAATCTGTTCCTGAAACACCCAAGGACGTGCCGACCGAGATTGACACCAAGGCAACTGAAGCTGTCTCTGAACCAGGGCAGCGTGTTATCTCCACTATGACTCGAACGGAACGCGTGCGGCTGGCCGATGGCTCGGTTCAGAGCAAGGTCGTTAATACGAAGCGTTTTGCAGATGGCCGAGAAGAAAGTGACGAGTCTGTTGAAGTGTCTCATCCCCAGGATGGTTCCAAGCCGGAGCCTAATTCATCGAAGAGCGGTTGGTTCTGGAAAGACTAGGACTCTGTTCGGGCAATATCTTCGATGAACGACAGTTTCCCCTCGCTATGGCCGTTAAACATTTCTTTCTTTTATACCTGACTTTTCAGCGTTTTCTCAATTTATGATTTGCATGTCCCTGAGCCTTTCCGGATGGCGTCCCCTTTATCTCTTTGCAATTTCCCAGCCTGTGTTCCAGGCACCGGGCTCTGTGTACATTCAAATTGCCTTTCTCCCCTCATGCTACATGGAAAAGTCAATCCCAGCTAGTTTGATATCTCATAGGAAATAATCCAAGCGTCAACATATTACCCAATCTTAATTGCCATAGACTTTAATATCAAGCAAGACCAAAGCTACATACACAAAACATCGCGAAAATTTAAAACCCACACAATCTACCTCTAATCAGCCTTGACACTCTTCTTCCCTCCCTTGCCAGTAGTCCACCCCTTAGATTCCCAGTACTTAACGTTATCTTCCATCTTCTTGTACGCCCAAGTAAACGGCGGGTCTACACAACCAAAGTTAGCACCCACCTACAAACCCAAGAATGAGAAAACATACAAAGGAACTGCCTCAGATCATGACGATTATCCTCGGGGGAGTACTGCTCAGCATGGTAGCTAGGCGTAAGAACAGTCATCTTATGCCTGTTGATGGAGTAGTAGTAGAAGAAATGGCGGGTCTTCTCGTAGATCTCGCGCGGGCTGTACTCATTGCCCCACATGTGGAGCAGCTTTTCGTACATAGAGTACGGGCCAAGCTTGGAGACCTTCCTCAAGTACCCGAAAACACCCAGCTGGGCGTACGTAACGCCCATGTCGGCTTCGTCGGATTGCACGTAGTCGTGCGTGATGGGTTTCCAGCTCCGCTGTGGGTGTTGCGTGGATGAATTCTTCGAGGATTGGGAGGTCGAAGCTGTGTCCTGACCAGGAAATGAATTTCTTAAGGTCGACTTTGCTCACTGAGCCGATGGGGTTGAGCTGGTTGTTTTGGTTAGTAATGGATGTGGTGTTTCTTGCGGGAATTGATGCTTACGTCGGCGGAGCTGGCATCGTACTTGGTGAGATAGCCTCGCAAACTAAATGGGTCGAGTCAGTCATAGGAAGAAAAATTGGATTTCATATGGCGTACCATTCTGTGACAACGGTTAGTAAAGATTCCCAACAAGGTTCGATGCTCGTGTTTGAGAGACTTACCATCAACATTAGATGATGCGAGAACGAGCAAGCCGCCACCACCAGGGCGTTGACGCACAGTTGGCAATAACGAGGCAAACAGATATGACAGAACCATTCTGAGCCGAGCCTGCACATTCTGGAGCGCGGCATTCTCCGCGGAAGATCCACCGTGTACTTTGAAACGAGGCTGGAAGTTAGTGAGAACGGTAAAGAGGTTCATGATAGAAGTGACCACAGTATCGAAATTGAAGTCAATGTGGTAAGATCCAATATCCGCCGCAAGTCGAGCCGCTCTGTCTCGTGTCTCCTGGCCTGAGTTCTGTGTGCCCATGTAGCTGGTATGGAAGATGGATCTAGATAAATTGGTCAACGTTGTCCCGGAATATGACGACAAAGAAATTTAGCCGGACAGAAGCTCAACACTTCGAATACTTACTTGCAGATTTCCTGGGTGGTGGTAGGAAGCCACTCTGAGTCTGCTGGCTTCGCACACAACCGGCGGACATCCTTGATGACCTGCTCATTCCCTTCTCGCACTGCCTTGAGCACTTCACGACACATGGAGTGCACAATGGTTGCTGTGGCGCAGCTGTCAATACCACCGCTCAGCGGAAGGAAGAAACCGGCGGCGCCACATCTCCGAAGATAATCCCATAGCCAGCAGGCAGGCCCAAGGGCAATCTCCTCCTCGGGAGCATGGTACCGCGGCTTGATAGGCAGAGAAGTCGTAAGGCTAGGCTCGGCATCTTCATCCCGGCGAGAAAGTCTGATATCAAGATCAAGGCGGACGTAGGGCGATTGCTTGCTCGCTTGCATTCCACGACTTGCGATGCACCGGTAGGTGCGGACTTCTTCGATGTCGACCGTTGCAGTGACGACTTCCACATCGTTCAGAGAGAACTGTGAACCTTGGGCCACGATTTCCCCGTTGATGACAATCATGGCACATCCGTCATAGTACAGACGATCACCGTCGCAGCCTTGTTGATTGGCATAAAGGTAGATTCCACCGCTCTATAAGGTGTAAGAAAAATGCTAGCCTATTGTGGCGTTGTTTTTCACTCACCAGCTTGGTAGCCTGGGTGATCAAATTGACCCTAGTGTCAAGCTTCTTCAGCTCGTGGTGACTACCCGAAGAGTTGGAGATGATCTCGACACCTAATTTGAATTAGACTATGGGCACTGTCATCTGGACATCGAAACTCACCAGCTAGGCCATATGGAACATGAGGGCTAAAATCGATTGTCAGCATCCAAAACCATATAGCGAGTTCAACACCTACCCATTAGGGGTAAACAGCTCCTCACACGTCTCAAGACCCAGACATGTGTCTCTCGTGCTAATAACAGCATCACCAAAGGGAACCTTGTACTGGCCAGTAATCTTTCCAACGATTGATTCCAGGTAGTAGTCTTCCACCTCCTGTGGACGCTGCCATGGCGTAAAGTGTCGGTGCTCGCGGTAGTTACCATCTAAGGTATGAAGAAAACATCAGGAACCATTTTCCGAAGTATAGAGAGCAATTAAACGAACCGTTGGCAAGCCACATCTTCGGCCTGATCAGGATGATCTTCCGGTTGTAGAAAATGACACTAGAGAGGATATATCAGCTGATGCGATACCGGGTACATCGGAAACACTCACCGACAGTTGTAGCGTACATTGCGATGGCGAACCGGCAATCCCACGTCAACCACAATATCCTGGCAATCTGGATGGTCGATGATGCGGGCGAGCATTTCCCACGAGTGTAAGAAGGTGTCACCCTCAAGGAAACCATCCAGGACTCCATAGCCGGTAATCTCGAGCTCAGGCCCAACGCGTAAAGTGGCACCAGCAGCCTTAGCTTGCCTAATGCTTTCAATGATGCGCTCCGCGTTGCCCTCAAAGTCGAGAGCCCACTGATTCAAAGAGCTAGACGGAGTTAGCGCGGGGTTTTCTAGTATCTAGATGGTAAATATGTTAGCCTTACCATGTTGCTAGAGTGACCAGGTGCCCCATTATGCCTAATATGACTGAGACGTCTGTATGTTGTGCTTCGCACAGAGGCTCGTCGGCGATAAGAGTCAAAAGAATGCGGTCACGTGTGTGGGGAGCTCAAGTTCCCCCGCTTCACTGGTAACGGGATGACTGTAAATTACTGTAAGATATTATTTTCTTGGCGTTGTCGGCACAACTCCGACCAAGAAAACGTGTAATCCGTCTGTATAGGCGTCCCGAGGTCGCTGATTAATGCGATTCCTCCCCGGAGCCACTCTCCGGGGCTGTCCCGAATTCCACGCTGCTGATATTTTGCATATAGCCTCATTATAGAGTTAGATTCTTCTTGTTGATATACTTACCATATTAGGCATTTATTGCTGGCAATCTGGCTCTTACAGAATGAGCACGACCCCTCAGATCCCCACCCCGGCTCATATGCTCGCGGATTCCATGTTGTCTCGACACTTTGGCAAAGAGACGGTCAATTACTTCTCCAGTAAGGATGTCTTGAACTCTCATATATGAGGCGCAGTAAAACTAAAGTATCTTCAGGCTCTCCAATCAATCGTTTATCTTTCTTGCGCTCCGACCACCCGTTCCTGTCTACGGCTCTGAAGCACCCTTCGGCCCGGTTCGTACTGTTGAACAACCTAGCGCCCTTGACTCCGTCTCCAGCGCAGCTACACTATGCCAAGTATGACGAGGTTCGCAAGCTGGTGCCCCAGGATATCTTTGACACTTCCGAGGAAGAGATGATCAAGAACTATGATTCACGCAAGACACACCCGACCCTTATCTTCCTCGGACTGGACGAGAATCGCAAGGAAGGAGGACTGACGTGGAAGATATACTCTGGCACACCGTATTTTGCAGTCGACGTAACCCCTAAGGGCCCTGAAGAGCAACAGACTGCAGCAAAGGATGTGATCAGTGCCATGGAGGCCAAGGGACTGTCTTTCTTCCAAACACGAGTTGTCATGTCCTTCTCCGCAGATGAAGGTATGAAAATGCGATAATAATTTATACGTTGATAAGAGGGAACTAATCAGTTCGGGATAGCTGCTATTTACGCACAGGCACGTGCGCTGATGGACTGGAACACTCGCAACACCTTCTGTGGCACATGCGGCCACCGTACTTTGGCCGTGAATGCAGGCACTAAGCGTGCCTGTCCGCCCACGGATGTTGCACGAACAACCGAGGGCAAGGCAGAAGAGCGGCCGGAGTGCAATACCCGTACTACGCTCTCTAACCTTTCTTTCCCCCGTACCGATCCGACTATCATCGTGGCGGTAGTCTCTGCCGACGGCAAGCGAATCCTGCTAGGCCGCTCTAAGCGCTTCCCACCAGGGTGGTATTCCACCTTAGCTGGGTTCATTGAGCCAGCAGAGTCGATTGAGGATGCTGTGCGGAGAGAGGTGTGGGAGGAGTCGGGTGTCACTTTGTCCCGTGTTGTTATCCACTCCTCGCAGCCTTGGCCGTACCCGGCCAATCTGATGATTGGTGCTATTGCCCAGGTCAGTGACCCCGCTCACGAGACGATCTCTTTGCAACATGACCCTGAGTTGGAGGATGCACGGTGGTTTGAGGTGGAGGAGGTGGAGGAGGCGCTGCGCATTGGTACCAGTGACTTGAGTTCTGAGGCTGGTCCGGAATATAAGGGCGGCTTGCGATTGCCCCCTCCTACGGCCATTGCCAATCAGTTGATCCAGGCTGCTGTGAGTGCAGACTATTTTGCGGCAGAGAAGCATTCCAAGATATAAAATCATGCTTCTGATGATACCTGTGCCAAGTCACTACATATTCTTGATAGATTTAGACATCCACTATGTCCCAAAGCCCGTAGTAATGGATCTATATACAACACCTATCTCCTAAAAGAACAGCTAGATACGAATAACTGGTAGGTCCTTATTGTAGAATATACCACAAAATCACCATCACATTATATCTGGGAAAAGACTGTGTATCATGAGCCGCAATAGAAGAGGTATGTTCCACCGGAATCTCTAGAAGTATGATGGACGAACTGGGCTTAATTGTAATTGTCTCCTTAACAATTTAATGAATTTGCCTGGTGTGACCGGCCTGGCAATGCTCATGTGTTACGGAATATCATTATTTTTTGGCTTACCAGAGATACTGCTGTTGCCACTACGTTTATTGTTGGGAACCAGCTTTTTTCTAAGCCTAGGTGAGGGTTATACCAAAGTGAGGGAAAAGTGGTGCTGAGTGGGTAGTTCTATGGGAGATAGAGAGCAGACATGGAATATTGCAATTCCTTTGATGTTGGTTTTGTTTTACACGTAGGTACATGTGAGTTGTGGCAGAGATGTCACGCCTAGTATCAAGATATCAAGATGACCATTTCAAATATTGGCATACAAAGTGCCATCACGTAACTCGTGAACACTGCTGCTTCGACTGTTCGGGGAACCGACCTCGGTGTAACGAGTGCCATCCCGCAGCTCATGGATAGTGACTCTTTGGTTGCTTTTGCGCTTGCGCTGAGAGCCACGCCTGGAATCCGGGCTGCCTGACTCGCTTGCCACTTGGCTGCTTGGTGTCATATCGCGCTCCTGGCTGTCTCTCTCGATAGCGGCCTGGAGCATATGGTCTGCGACACTATCCGAGCCAACTTCATCGTACCATCGACGTAAGCCAGACGCGTAGGCACGTTCCTGCGAGTCATATTCGACGGGGGGTCCGGTCGTCTCGGCATCGGGACCCGAACCGTCGAATACTGCCCACGCGCTGGAATCGACACTGACAAGCATAACGGTGTGATCGAGGCTCCGGACTTTAAAGTCGCGTAAGAGAATGGCGTTACCTTCCACCAATGACGGCATCGAGGCCTTGTAGCGCCGGAAAATCTGAGCACGCAGAGTCGTGCCAGCCATGGAGGGATCGGTAAGTTGAATAGTCATGAACCAGTCTTTCGAACCGGATTTGGCTCGGGTTATCGGCGAAGCCTCCTGCACGATTGAGATGGTATCGACTAACGCATTGTAATGATCGATGAGTGTAGCAAGCGGGGCGAAGTAAGAAAGCTTGCTCCGTAGGCCGGATGCATTACGGTCGGGGACTGGGGGCTGTGAAACGGGAGCTGCTGGTGCTTTTGGAGATTCAGTGTTGATCACAACCTCCACAGAGCGGCCCTGTTCAGGCGTTGTTGGGCGTTCCACGGCTTCAGCGAGTTCCGAAGGAGCCATGGCATCATCAGTTCCGTCAACGTGTGTCTCTTGTTGGATACTTTTTATGGGTTCTGCCCCGATACCTTCGTCTTGGTCTGACCCCGGGGAGCCAACAGGATGCACAGTTTTATCCAGACCAGTAGGAGCTTCATTTTCATCGACCGTGAATGAAGTTACTAGTTCACGCGCGGATGCATTTTCTTGGGCGGGGTCGGGGGTTAAGAGTTGTTGCTCCAATGGAGGCCTAATGGAGGGCGAGACTCGACCGCCAACGGGCTCGGGTCCTTCGACAGCCGGCTCATGGCTCAACGGAAAATAGGCCATAATATTTCCAGTAGATGAAGGAATATGCAGATCAGATTGTCCGTCTCCAGTGAGATACTGCTTAGCATGACTTTCGACTTCCGAGGATGGGCCTTGATGATGAGATCCAGGCATATCAAGCAGGTTTGGATCAGCATTGGCTGATTGCTCTTCGTCAGAGCCCCGACCAATTGACACTTCAATCTGTGTGTCGAGTTCGGCCGCAGCATGATATTCGTCATTGTCAGCTTCTTCTATGAGCTCCACATCTTCCACATCTTCATCTTCGTCCTCCTCAGGACTTGGTGATGCCACTACAGATGGATGGTCCGTTTCATCGTAGTCTCGGGACGACTGGTCGTCATCCATGTCACTGTCGTGAACTCGATCGTCCTGTTGATCGTCTTCGCACTCATCGCCATCTTCGCTCTCTTCGCTCTCTTCGCTCTCTTCGCTCTCTTCGCTCTCTTCGCTCTCTTCGCTCGCTTCGCTCTCCTGGCGCTCATCGATATCGGAATCTTTTTCCACATCTTCGTGATGGCCATCCTCTGGATCGACTGACCACGGTTCTGGATATTCTTGTACACCAGTTGCAAAATCGGCTGTAGCTGGAGGGACAGCTGGATGTCCAGATTCAAAGCGGTCTGAGTGATCATCTCGTTCTGCTGACCGAGAAACTGAGGCTACCGGACCGTTGGAGGCAGCCTCATCATCACTGTCACTGTCCAGCACGATTACGTCGTGACTTCCCGGCTGCGAAGGGAGGTTCTGTTCCTGCTCAAACTTTTCATCACTGGATTCAATGACACTGAAGTCATCTTGGTCCGACCGTGACCGTGATTCCAAACGAGGATCAGAATGGAAATCCTCCTCGTCCTCTTCATATTCACATTGGGAATCGTAGTTTTCCACTGACTCCTCATAGTACACTTCTTCATCCTTTCCTTCACTGTATTCATGACTGGGTGAACGCTCGATATCATCTTCGATTTCCTTTTCCTCTTCCATGTCTTCCTTCCTTTCGTTTTCCTCCTCTCGAGCGGCTATCATTTTTTCGAGTACATCGATCGCATCCTGATCAAATGTGGAGGCAGGTTGTGGATAGTTGACTGACTGAGTCTCTGGCCCAGCATGTTCCTCGCCATGAGACCCAGTCGGATATTGAGAAGATTCCACATTATCACTGGCAGTTTCGATGCCGAGCTCAGTTTGAACAATATCTGATCCATCAATCCCTTCGGAGGATTCGAGCGATCCATCTTCCAAGCCCTCCCTCGAGCGCGAAGATGATGCTGACTCATCGCGCCATAGGTAACTGACATCAATGAGACGTTCGTCATCTGTTTTAGTTGATGTTTGATCGTCGACGACGGCATTTTCGGTACCAGTAGCAGCTTGGGCGGCAGCCGATTCAAGGTCCGATTCACCCTCCGAGCCCGTAAGTGATGCTGGATGACCGTGGGGCTGGTTAATATCATCCAAAGCATGCTTTTGCTCTGCTTCATTTGACATTCGAGCTTCGTCACCGGCAGTATTCATGACTACGTCAACTTCAGCGACATCTGATTCCTCGATAACTTTGGAGGAGTCGATCGTCTCCACTTCCTGTTCTTCTGACAAGCCGCCTGAGCCTGGATCTGATGCCAAATCATCCCGGAAGACAAAACCGGCATCCAAGACATGTTCCTGCTGGAAGGCCTCAACATCCGGATTGACTAGTTCCACTGTCTCTGTGTGAATGGAATCGACGGCTTCTATATCATGTGTCTCCATGGAAGATGCTGCGGGCGTCGCTATGGTGTCCTTTTCTGCAAGAGATCGAACCTCTTGGGGCTGCGGAGGCGCGGTTGATGGCAGGAAATAGCCAGCCGAGCCAGGGGGATTAGAGACAATGGGCGAAGGGATCGGGAGCCCCGGGGAAGGGATGGGTCGAATCTGCGGTGTGTCCGTTGGCAGATGAGAAGGTGTTCCATATGTATCACCTTGTTTAGACACGACATTTGCCTCGCCGGCATTTCTTTCAAGGATACTCCCAGTCAATTCAAGGGAAGGCTTCGCAAACACCGCAAGTGGCTCTTGTGGTGCATCCTCTGTGTGTTTTGGAGCTTGGGCAGCATCTGTCATTGGTTCGTCTGAAGGCCCACTCGCCGAATCTGCCTCGTCGAGCTCTTGGTCAATAGATTGATCCAAAGCCTGTTCCCAATCCACAGGGGCTTCTTGGTCATGGGGGCTTTCTGGTTCGTTGATAACACGCCAATCTTCCCTGTGGAAGCTGTACCTCGGCTTTTTCCTTCCTTTCCCTGGCACAAAACCATCTTCTTCCGCAAAAGGATCAAAAGCGGAACGGATTGTTCCTCCGGACGAGACTCGAGTACTCTTGAGGAATGCCGGTGATCCCCAGGCGCGTGCACTATAAGGCAGGTCGAGGTCGGAATTGATTGATTTCCCAATAGGAGTTGTAGGCAGTGCGGGTTCGTTTTCATGCGGTGCTGTCGCCTGCGGCTCAACCGATATGATCAACGGGGGTGGGGCAGATCGGTAGATCTGAGATGAGCAGCAGTCAGTCTCTGTAAGATACATATCGAACTTGGGAGCAACATACCTCGAGAGACGCGCTATTCTCAAAGTGCGCATCCCACGCGACAGACCTTCCCGGGGTTTGCTGGGCGCCCTCGTTGCTGACAAACTTGGTGTGCTTCAAGGCCAGGCAAACCGTATCCCCGATTCCCACATGCGATTCTGCGACCTTTTCTGCGACGTGTCCATGGAAGGTGACCTTGATTTGTCCTTTGGCACCCCTCAGGCGGAAATCCGGCTCCACTAACAGAAGGCTCACAGACTTGGTCGAAGAGGAGTATGGCCACACAAGTGCTATAGCTGCAAGAAAAGACTTTGCAGCCAATTGTTCAAGGTCGGGTGACAGCTGAGCTATCGGAACCTTGGTCAAATGCGCCAGCGCATTCGGCGCGGGAGACTGCTCGGGGGACTGCTCGATCGCATTCATTGCGCCGGTTTTCCCACGCCCGACTGATGTTTTGTCAAGCTGTCCACATATCAAACAGGAATAATAGTTGAGATAAAATAAAGAGGTAAGAGATGCGAGTAAAGAAAACCGAGTGGTTGAAAGGAAATGCGGAGGAATATTTCGTGCAACAAAGAGGTAATAAGCTGCAGCTCCATCGAGGTAATCTTACGGTAATAACAGGAGGAGAAGGGCGTAATAGGCGTATTGCAAAAACTAAAATTATCTCCTTCAATGGATTGTCCATGTCCAACGAGACTTGCTGATTGGTCGATTTCATTGTAAAACGACATATTATTTACAGCTTTCGAATGTCAATATATTGGAACATCTCTATATTGTATATGATTCGCATCTTCATGGCCCCTAAGGTAGTCCGTACAAGACCAGCTATCTAACCCAGCTCCACTATGGCGAAAGCGCTAGGCAATCCGCCGAGGCCACTTCTACCTCGCAACTCAACTCGCATTTCTACATAACTACATAAGTAAACCGTCTCTCAAGTGCCCGTTGAAAGCATGGCAATCACAAATCCGATTCGTCGAGTAGCTGTCATTGGCGCGGGGCCCTCTGGCCTTGCTGCAGTAAAGTAAGTGGGGTTGTTATACTATACTCGCCCCCAACATGGCAATGCTGACCGGACTCAGATACCTGCTCGCCGAGAAATATTTTGACAAAATTGAGGTCTTTGAGCAAAGAAGCTCCGTTGGAGGAGTTTGGAACTACAGTCCGAGTTCCTCTAAAAAAGGGATGTCAACAACTGTCCCTCATTTAACCCCTCATGAGCCAGCCGAGAAGCCAGTATGGATCGATCGTGCTGAGGGGCGTGAGGCAACATTCGTGTCTCCACTATACGATCGATTGGAAACCAACATCCCTAAGGAGTTAATGCGTTATTCGGATAAGGCGTTCCCATTGGAAGCCCAGCTGTTCCCCAAACACCGGACAGTGAAACAATACCTCGAAGAATATGCCGAAGGTGTCAAAAACCTCATTCAATTTGAGACACAAGTCTTAGAAGTGAAACTTGAAGATGAAACTCTAAGTACCTGGAGTCTAACGGCAAAGAGTCTTTCAACGGGCATCGACACAACCCACACTTATGATGCTGTGGTGGTTGCAAGTGGTCATTTCACGGTCCCTTATATACCTGACATCCCAGGAATACAAGCCTGGGACGCATCACACCCAGGTGCTATTTCTCATTCCAAGTTTTACGACTCCCCAGAACCTTTCCAAGGAAAGAAAGTGGTTGTGGTAGGAAGTTCTGCTTCGGGGCTTGACATTGGTGTCCAGATCAACGAAGTAAGCCAAGGCAAACTGTTGGTCTCCCAACGATCTGAATCCTACTTGGCTCCACCCCCAAATGGCGATAAAATCATCTGTCCGGAGATAGTCGAGTTCCTTCCTCCGACAGCCTATGACAGAGGTATAAAATTTGCGGATGGTCGCATTGAGGAACATGTGGATGCCATTGTTTTCTGCACCGGCTACTTCTATTCATATCCTTTCTTATCTTCACTCAACCCACCGGCTGTGACCCATGGATGGCGAACAATGAATATCTACCAACAGTTGTTCTATATAGACCATCCCACTCTCGTCTTCCCGGTGCTTTCGCAGCGGGTTATTCCATTCCCTATGGCCGAGAACCACGCTGCTGTTTTCTCTCGTGTGTGGTCCGCACGGCTTACACTTCCACCAAAAGATGAGATGAAGGCATGGGAGGATGCTGAAATTGATGCCAAAGGAGACGGAAAAGAGTTCCACCTGCTTCCATTTCCCATGGATGCTGACTACCTCAATTTTCTCTACGACTGGGCGGAAAAGGCCAACCCACGACCTGGGCTGTCTAACAACGGACAAGGCAAACTTGGTACCCGATGGGGTGAGCGGGAACGATGGATGCGGGCCCGTTTCCCAGATATCAGACGTGCTTTTGTACAACGAGGTAACGAGCGAAGCGAGATCAAGGATCTATCAGAGCTTGGTTTCGACTTTGAAGAGTGGAAGAAGCAACAAGATGATCACTGATGATTATGGTACAAGGTCACATCTTAACCCGTACGTGCAATGTCAACGGTGATAAACGCTGATCTAAATTGATTAGAAATACGATACATTTTGCATATTTGAATTATTACAGTAGACATAAATCTATAACCGTACACCAGCACGTCACTATTCCCAGATGTTATAGATCTACCGATAAGCGTTATCACGTGAAGCGGGTTCACTTATCCGTCCGTCCATCGCGCCGCGGGTTTACTCTCTTTCATATACCCTCGCAGTGTTTTGGGAAAGTGTTAGATGTTGCCCGGAATTGAAAATTGTATGTGCTTCGGATCAATGCAGCTCATACGAGCTTATCTTGAGTATTGAACCTACATTCTCATTTTATCCCCGTCATGTTATCCAACATCTCCCCGACACCAATCGCCCGCACATGATGTTTCGAGAGCAGTCTCACTCGCCAATACTCGATAGTCACCGCAGAAAGAATGCTGACCGGCCTTCAGCTGCAACTGTTGTTATTAGTGATAGCAGTGAATGCAGCGACGGTAGTGATTCGGACGACCAGGAGTGGCCTATAAAGTGTATCCTCCGTGAAACAGACACCGAGTATCTTATTGATTGGGAAGGTCCTTACGAGCCAACTTGGGTGAGTCTCCGTGGCATGAATGGACATAAAGGCACTGAAGAAATGGTTGCCGAGCTTGGGCTAACAAATGCGCTTGCCGGGCTTGCTTAGGAACCCAAAGAGAACGCGAGTGAGCTTGCTATACAAGTCTGGAACAAGCGGAAAGCTCGGCGGTCAAGCGAACTATATCGGAAATCGACTCGTGGGAGGATCGCTCAATCGCCTAGCGTCATCGAACTCTCTTCCTCATCTTCAGAAGCAAATATAGGCCCAGGGGATCGCTCCTGCACGCCCTTTGACGACAAGACCGACGAGAGCGACTCTGATTCTGATAATCATCCAAGAGCTTCCTCAACGCTATTTGTGCAACAAGAGGGCCTTTCGGAGATAGTAGACTCTCTTCAATCTCAGTACATTGAAGCTTCGGGCTGCTTCTACGGGACCGTCTCTCCATCCAGATCACTCTCCGATTGCTCTTCGCCACTAGCGGCTGTATCCACAAGCTCTCGCTCGCAGGCTGACGCCGCGTTTTCTGAACATATCCCCGAGTCATCTAGTCCACCTGAATACCTGCAACCAGGTGAGTGGGACGACGTCAACACGCAGCAGCCTGGTCCGACTTGTGACCCAAAGGCCAATTCGATTAATAGCTGCTCATCGCATCAACAGTACTCTGCGGGAATCAAAAACGTTATTGAATTATCACACCCGAACACGCCGGGTTTTGGACTGAGTCCCAAGGTCCCCGAAATAGCTGAGACGCCCGTTCAGCCACCGGGTTCAGGACCTGATTTCTCGTGCCTGGGTTCTTTCCCTCTTGATAATATCACATCTCAAACCAATCTGATTTCTCAGCCTTTTGGCTCGTGTGGATCCATCGGCAGAGGTAGTGTCACATGCCACACCAAGTTTTACATTTTTGCTCACATTTTCACAGATTGTGAGTTCGTCCAGTCAACATATCTGAGCTCGATTCCAGAGACGGTCTTTCAGTACATGTCACAGCATCCAGAAGAGCTCAGTTCTGGTTTGACTCGACCTGTGCTTTCATTTTCTAATCTTGCGGAAGAAGAACCCTCTACCAAAACCATGGAAGACAAAGAGCCTAAGCCATCGGATCCTTCTCTCTCCGATGCCCCTTTGGATCGATACAGTCAATTGCCAGGGTCCACACCCACGGAAAAGATACGGAATGCCTGGGCCCGGCTCGGCGAAGAGAATCAATCTGAGCTATCGCAAACAGGTAACGCAGTTGAGACTCCATCTTCCGTGGGGGATATTGAGGCTTCGATCCCTGTGTCTGTCCCTGAAACAACCGCACCGCTTAGTGTCAGACCTGACACGGATTCCTTTTCTCATTCACACACAGCAGTCCACCATCGTCATTCTGAACCTTTACTACCACCTTCAGAACTAGCCCACGGAGGCCATTTGAGTCAACCTTCACTCCAAACTATCCACCCCAGCGCGTTGACCGTCACCGGCATGGATGATGAGGTTGTGCCCGGATCAGTCCACCTCGGGCCATCTGAGTTTGCCGTCACCCTTCCGATGGATTCTCGCGTGAAGGATGACTACGAGCGAGTGCTATCAGATGCAGCTACAAGCATCCGCCAATTTTTCGACAGCTTTCAGTCGAATACTCAAATTTCTGAGCCTGAGGTGGGTGGAGAATCAATCTTGAATATAAATCGTATTGCTTACATCGTATGCACAGCGAGACGGTTTGCACTCGAATATGCGGGAGGTCATCGCGCGATTGAGCAATGTTGCAACCCATCCAGACTTGAACATCTCCGACCATTTGAAAGACGCCGACCCCGACCTTGCGAAAGAGGCATCCTGGGCCGAATACTCTAGTGCAAAGTTCCTCTTCCTCGGTCATCTCATGGAGATCGTAGGTACGCACGAGCTTCATCTGATTCTCGCTGTTCAAGACGAGAAGAAACAGGCAGTTCTTGAGCGTTATCTTCAAGGGAAAGGTTTTGCATACACCCGACCCCGTGCAGAGATGGGCAGCACCTTGGAAGTTTCCCTAGCCAAGGGGTCGCTCAGTTTTGGAATTCATTCCAGTGAGACCGCCCGTGAACTCTACAAGTCGCCCTCTGCTATTTTTGCCTTGGATTCGTATTTTCGACCCAAAAGTCCGTCCATGCAGCACCTCCGAACGACTTATGCCCGAAACGGGAACTTGCTTCCTGTCATCTGGTTTCTTGTCGCCAACACAAGTGAACATATCGAGCGTTGCTTGCCTGACTCGTCGGAGCCCGATCGATTGCGTTTACTTGTGCACTACATTGCCCGGCTCCATGACGAGGTCGGTGATCTCCAGGATGATGCCCTCGGCGTGCATGAAGACGCCGAAGAGATCCTCGGATACCTCTTGGATCCTGTTGCTGGTTGGCCGTTGCCTACCATTGAGCCTTTGAGCCTTGTATCCCTGGAGGAGTTGGAGTGCTACAGCTCTTCATCTGACGAGGCGATGCCGCCGGCCCAGAAACGCACACTGGTGAGTAGACCACATGTTAAATGTACCTGGGTTCGACTAACGCTTGGGGGCAGGACGAGGAACCCGAGGAGCCCTCATCGAAGCGCGCACGGGTCGGTACCCAAGAGAACAGCCAGCTGACCGAGTCAACTAAGCCTCCCAGTCAGACATTGGACCGTGATTTGCAATCACTAGAGAAAAACATTATCCAGATGAAACACATCCACGCAAGTGAAAAAGCCCAGTTGCAGGCTGAGCTTGCTTGGGCAAACTCTCGATTCGAAGAAATGGAGAAGGCTCTTGGTATTCTACAACACCGTTACGAGAGCCGGATGAATGAACTCCATGAAACTCGCCAAGAGCGTGATCGCCTGTCTGAAAATAAGCCGTCTCTGGAACAGCGCATCGAGAAACAAAAGGAGACTATCTCTAGTTTGAAAGAAGAACGGGCAGAGCTGAAGCGGGAGCTCGACGAAGCCAGACAAGCACTCAAAGATGGAGGTGGCAGTCCTGCTGAACTGGAGACAGCACGCGAGGAAATCCGCCGTCTGGCAAAAGAAAATTCGAACCTTGAGCGCAAGGCTGAGTTCGAGAAAAATCAATCCGAGTACATGCGAGAGCAATATCAAACTGCGTCTACAGCGGCCGCTCAGTCTGGCACAGAAAGCCGCCATTTGGCCGCCGAGAATGAGAGATTAAAGCGCAAGGCCGACAGTAATGCCGTCCAACTTAGCGAGCTACATATGAAGGACGAGTCAGTTCGTCATATAGCTCGAATCGAAGAGCTAGAATTAACTCTGGCTATGCGCGACGAATTCCTACGCAGGAAGGAAGACGAGCTTCGTGAAATCCGGAAGAATCGTCCATCGACTCGCTCAACTAGCACTCAACCACGAAGTCCCAAGTGGGCCGGCAGCCGTCCTACCAGCCCCGGAGTTGGTAATAATGGCAACGGTAATGGCGGTATTGGGGGTAGGGGCAGTGCGCTGCGATACAGCTCAGAGATGCCTTTCTAAGACATCACTCGATTTCTCCCGGGTTTCCCACGCCTCATCATGTTCTTGGCGTGTGCTTTTCTCACCCCGGCCAATCTATGATGTCTAGACACGATACATAGACGGGGGTATTTGCTCTTTGCGAAGCATTTCACAATCACCTTAGCCAGATCTTTTTATTCCTTTCATCCGCTCGTTACGACATTGCATCTTCCTGGCGTTTCATCCTTCATCCATTGCGACTTTCCCATTTACCCATGAGCGATTTTCGTTTCGCGAGAATAAAGCGGGTCTCGGATGCATCAGTATCTGACTCTTGTGTGTTTTCTCCAAGTGCTGCTGTTTCGTTCGATTTTCATAGCAATTCTTTTCATCATAGCTCCAATGACAGACATCTTAGTTTGTTCGATTACGCTGCACCTGTTCCCCTTTAGTGTTGGATTTACTCTAAGCCATTCGTTTGATACTTTTAAAATAAAAATAACCCATCCAAATGTGAAATATCAATCTGGTTTCATATTCGGTAATTAAAATATAACCCAAAAGTAGCAAGCCACAGAATTATGGATTATGTATAGACAAAGATACTAAGACAGGGAGGAAAGAAAGGACCTGGACAGCAACATACAAAATGGACAAATAAGTAGAAGAGAAAAGGGCCCATATACAAATCTCCTGGAAACAGACATGCGCAGTCCCAAAATGCAATGCTTTTACACAGAAGCCATAGAGTTAGCAATGAATGCAGCCAACTCCTTGGCCTTCTCGCCACGGGTCATAGTGAAGTGGTTCGCATCCTCCATAACGGTAATGCCTCCGACGTTCTTCGGCCCGACAAGGGTATCCCAACCATTCGGGCCGAGGTCAGTGCGGTTGTTCAACAACCAGAGCATCTCACGAGGGTCTGCGCTACCATCCTCAGCTGGTGCAGGGCGGGCATCACCTGGCTTAGAGCAGACACCATCCTTGGCCCAGACCATGAAGGTCTTAGGAAGTTTGTCGGCCATCTTGGGGTCTGTGTGAGGGAATGGAACAGCCTTATAAGCATCCAAGGAGTCGATAAAAGCCAGGAAGTGAGGCAGAAGCCATTTGGGAGGAGGTGCCTTGCCCTCCCCAAACAGTCCGATCGTGTCGAAGAAGCTGTACAGACGAGGAGGCAGCTTCTCCAGTCCGATGGGGAAGGGTGAGTCTAGGAGGAGCAGGCGCTCAACTCGCTCGCCTTCCTCGAAGATCAACTGGCGCGCGGCATCGTAGGCACAAATACCACCGGCGGACCAGCCACCGAAGTTGTAAGGGCCAGTGGGCTGGCGGCGCCGGATCTCAGCAACGTAAGGAGCTGTGAGCTCGTCCAGGCTGAACTTGAGCTTCTCGGGAGTGCGCATGTATGGGCAGTTCAGTCCGTAGACGCACACATCTGGGGAAATTCCAGGGATTGTAGCGTAGGAGGTAGCGGAGCCAGAGCCATCAGGGAACAAGAACAACTTCTGAGTCGCTGTCTTGGGGTTTCCTTGCAGGAGGATCGAAGTGGCCGGCGGGTGCTGGACGGCAGTTCTGGGAGCGACTACCGGGGCTTGAACTGGGATTTGTTCGGGGAGTCTGATTGGCTCCGCGGGAGCGAGCTTAGGCTTCAGGTCCAGGGTAGTCTCGATATCATCGAGTGTCTGATTCTCAATGAAGAACTCTCCAGGAAGATCGAGGTCGATATCTTCACGGATCTTACCGAGAACTGTGAGCGACATCAATGAGTCCAGACCCATCTCACCAAGGTTCGCATCGCCACTGAGCTCCTCAGGCTCAACGCCAATCTCCTCGCCAAGATTGAGGCAATCTGCCTCATGCTGTCATTCTTCTCCTGCAATCCGTGTGTCATAGACTTCTCATTTGCAGGAGTTGGCAGACCACTGGTGTTTGGAGACGACATGTCGGTCGTGGATGCGGCCGATGACATGTCACCTTCGCTGCTTGATCCATCGCTGCTCTCACTAGGGCCCATTTGAGCTAGGAGACCTTTGAAGGCTTTGACAGTTGGATTATCCACAAAGACACTGGAGTCAAGATCGAGTCCCATGTCCTCACGGTATCGCCCAGTGATAGTCAGCGAGAGCAGCGAGTCAACTCCGTAATCAGCGAAGTTGAGATCATCAGTCATCTCAGACGTCGAAAGTCCGACCTCTTCGGCCAGGATTGCAAGAGCGCGTGTAGCCAAACTTGGCAATCCGGACTTTGGTGAAGGGGACGCCTTTTTGGCAGGGCCTGTCTTTGCCTTCTGGATATCGACGGGAGCAGGAACACGCTTGGCGGCCGGCTTGGGTGCCGGGGCTCCAGCGGGAGGAAGAGCCATGTCGAGGATCTTCCGTGCCAGAGCTTGGAACTACATTGCATTCTGTTAGTGATTCATTTGAGAGTCGTCCGACGGGATTTCAACATACCTTAACGCCACCATACACAGCAACGATGTCATCCCCTTCGAACATATAGACATCACCAGCCCAGATAGAGTCTTTCCAGGGCTGCATCCTCACGTAGGTACGGTATGTGATACTGGGATCGAACTTCTTCAAGCACCGCATCGAGTCCCATCCATGATTGACGAACACTTGATTCTTCGAATCAGTGTTATCACTAGCGTTCATAATGAAGCCGGACAGGTGACCGATGCTGTCAATCCAGAATGGATTACGGTGGAAGTTACCCGGCGGAGCCTCGAACTTGACAAGAGCGGTAGCTTCGTGTTGTTCACTGTCGAGGATGACTTCCCGAATGGATTTGTAGTTGTCGTCATAATCGACCAGAGAGGCAAAGAGCTTGTAGACCATTCCCCGCTTCATGCGGTGAGCCTGGCCGGATATCGTGCTCTCTTGGAGATGCTCAATGCTTCGCTTGATGAGATAAGAGCTGCGCTTCCACTCGATCTCGTAAGCACTGGGGTCAAAGAACTTGACGTCGCAAGTGGCGTGGTCAAGAATCTTCTTCCCTTCTGGTGTCACAGACCACACCTGCACCTTGGCACTTTCTTCGGCCCAGTTTGCGGTGGCTGAGACGCGGAATAGTTGCTTGCCTCCCTTTGCGATAAGCGGCTTGGGGACCACCACGTTGCAAACATCAAATCCGCGGTCTTTCCACTCGGGCTTGTAGTTCTGAACTAGATATTCACCGAGTGTTTGTGCAATATCGGCGTACAAGGACTAAGGCTTAATTAACAAACAGAACTGTTAAGCGAAAAAGTTGGGAATAGACATACCGATGGAGTAAGACAGGCACCGTTCACCTTGTGACCTGCAATGACGCGATTGAGGTCGGGATCAGCAATGTCATTCTCGATGACGATAGATGCCGACGAATTGTCACCACTCGTCTCCAAAACTTTCTGAGCTGCCGATGACAAGAACACAGCGACTGGCGCAGCCTCAGCCGCTGCTGCCGCCGGTGCGCCCTTGAGCAGACAGAAGTTATTAGTGTAGGGAATCCAGTAGTTCTTGAGATCCCACTTGTACGAAGGCAGTGGAAGGACTTTGTGTCCGGCAGTGAAGTCCTGGTGATACTCCTTCCATCGAAGTTCAATCCCAGCCAAATAAAGAGCCGAAGTACTATTCGAGAGAACCTTCCAAGTATCGTCCTGGCGACGGAGAGATGCCACAGTAGTTGCCTGAGGACCGAAAGTAGACTTAACCATCCCAGAGCAGACGGGGTGAGAGCCAATCTCAACCCAGATTGTCTTGTCGTTAATCAGGTTAGAGTGCCGGGTAGCTTCCAGAGCACCCAGGAAATTAACGGTCTCCCGACAGTGGCGGGTGAGGTAGTTGGGACCAAGCACCTCGCTGTTGGTCTCATTGATGACATCTCCAAGAAGGGCAGAAACGAATGGAATAGAAGGCGTATTGAAAGTGACACCCTTTCCAATTTCAGCAAGACTCTCGAGAATAGGCTCAACCTGGGCTGAATGGAAAGCGAAAGGCACGTTTAACTTGGTAGCCTTGAAACCTTCGTTGGTAGAGTTTGGGCAAGCTCGTCGATTTTCTCGCATGTGCCACTGATGACCGTCTCGCTGGGCGCATTAATACAAGCCACCTCGGTAGCCTCGTCAAGGAACTGCTTGACCTGTGCTACTGAAGACTTGATAGCAAGCATAGCATGCGTTCCAACCTTGATTTGCTCGGTGAGAAGCTGGGCTCGCCGCCCGGCAAGGTAGATTGTGTCACTGGTCGTCAAGACACCGGAAGCATTCAGTGCTGCAAACTCGCCGAGGCTATGGCCCATGACAAAGTCAGGGGAAACACCCAAAGACATCCAGTACTTAGTCAATGCCATCTGCACGCAGGTTGTTCCAAGCTGGGTAACGACCGGGCTATGCTCTTCAATTGGCACACTTCCATCGACCAAGGACAAAATAGATGGGAAACCCTGGCTCTGACAAATACAATTCAAGTGCTCAATGTGGGCGCGGAATTGGGAGCAACTCTCAAACAATTGGCGTCCCATGCCTGCATATTGAGCACCCTGTCCGGTAAAGACAAAGCCGATGCCAGGTGGGTTGACGGGAGCCGGGCTGATGCTGTCTCGGTTGACGATAGGAGCCAATCCGCTCCTGACTTCATCCAGAGTCGACCCAGTGACAGCGACTCTGAAGGGATGATGAATGCGCCTGGCCGTAGTTGTATAAGACAGATTGGCAAGAAGACTAGCCTCGTTGGTATTGAACGAGTTCTTGTTTGTGTCTATGTACTGCACGAGAGCAGAGATGTTGTTCTTCAGCGCAGCCTGAGACCGAGCAGAGACAAGCACAGGATGGGCAGACCGGGGGTCTTCCACATTCTCCTCATTAAGAGGGCCGTCCTCGACCATCAGAGCAGTATTACCACCGGCAGCCGAGAAGTTGTTGACGAAAGTCTTTCGCTTGCCGCCATTTGGCCTGTTCCAGGGGTAGGCTCCGACGCAATGTGCACATTGCGCTGCGGGAAGTCTGTCGGGAAGTTGTGGTTGATCTTGGTTTTAATGCCACAGTGAGGTGGGATCATGTTCTTCCGCATCATCATCAAGACCTTGATCAGGGCTGTGACACCAGAGGCGGACTCTCCGTGGCCAACGTTTGATTTTGCGGAACCGAGGTGAAGAGATTGAGTTGGTCCACGACGGTAATCAGGAGCGAAGATATCGAGAACCGACTGCATCTCCACTGCATCACCTGCCTGGGTGCCAGTTCCGTGCATTTCGATATAGCTGATCTCCTTTGGATCGCTGTTGGACTCGTTGAGAAGCTTGTCAAAGATGAAGGACTGTGCTCCTACATGAGGCCGAGTAATCGATACAGCCTCTGCGGAGTGATTGGTGTAAGCTCCTCCAATGACACCGTAGATAGGATCGTTATCTGCCTGGGCATCTTCGAGTCTCTTAATGACAATGGAGCCAATTCCATCTGCTCTGCAATAGCCATCAGCCCCATCATCAAAGGTGGTACAGTTTCCGGTCCTTGAGAGGAAATGTCCACGGTCAAGACCAGCATGGTTGTCAGGATTTGTCAGGATATTGACGCCACCGGCGATGGCAGAGTCACATTCATTCCTCCACAGGGAATTACAGGCGACGTGAATCGCCGCAAGACTCGAGGAACAAGCTGTATCCACACTGACACTAGGGCCGCTGAACTTGAAATAGTAGTTGATGCGACCAGGAGTGAAAGCACGGTTACCACCCGGGATAAAGTAGGTATCAATGTCCTGACCACTGTTGATCTCACGGTAGTCATCACTGGTCATTCCATAGAAGACACCCACACGGTTCTTCTGCGTAGAGGGCGTGCTATCCGGGATAAAGCCTGCCATTTCCAACGCCTCATAAGCCGTAAGAAGTGCCAGACGTTGAGCAGGGTCTGCTTGAAGCGCTTCACGGGGAGACATATTGAAGAATCGAGGGTCAAACATTCCGGCGTCGTTATACCAGCATCCATATTGAACTTGGCTGGTGTTTCTTGTCTTTCCTTCCATGTCGACGTGAGCCTTGACATCCCATCGCTCTGGGGGGACCTCGCGGTGAACGTCCAGCCCCTTTTTCAAAAGATCCCAGAATGCTTCGGTGTCAGGTGACTCTGGGAATCTTCCTGAAAGACCAATGATTGCAATCTTAGAGCTTCTCAGAACGGCCAGTACGGTTATCTTCTTCAGAGTCCTTCTGGACATCACCAATTGTGCTGTCAACCTCGATATTGGAGACTCCAGCCTTCTTCAGTGAGTTGAATAGACTCTGGGTTGCAGTGCTGGAAATTGGGAACAGAGTGCATGTTGTAGCGGATTCCAAGGCGGACTGGCAAGATTCGATGACCTTGTCCCAACAGAGCTGTCGTTGCAGAATCTCCTGGAGAGAAAATCTCAAGAGCTGGTCAAGACTCTCAGCTTGGAATTCCTTGCCTGTCTCGCTCGACAGAACAGGGATCTGAGGCACGTGGTTGATGAACTGTTCGGTAGGCCAAGATTCCAAAATTCGGTTAATATCCCTCTCATCATACAAATGCGAAGCATGGTAAGGGCCGTGGATTGGAACTCTTGTAGGCTTGTGCTCCTTCGAGAGACTGGCCTCAATGAAACGGCCTAGGAAGGTCGGAGGACCGCTGATCGTGAGTCCACTAGGGCTGACTGCGCTGATATAAGGCTGAGAAACCCGGGGCAAAGCCTTTAGAATATTAACAATAACCCTATTTTATTTAAAGCCTGTTTGGGGGAAGAGACTTACATTCTTCTCCGCGTATTGCTGAATCAAATCCAGAGCCTCGGGCTCGCGCATGCCAGAAATTAGCACAGACCAGCTTGGTGTTGCCGATTTGCTAGGTTCTATGAGCTCTTGCACTTTCAAAACGCACATGCCGAGTCTCAAGGCAACAACAACGGTCTCAACTCCAGCCGGGATGAGCTCGCCGATAGTTTTCGAAGAGCTCACAGCTGCAGATGCGAGCTGACCTGTGCAAAGACCAATGATGCAGCTCTCATCACCTGACGGATAGGCATGGCCCAAATCACCATAGTAGCTATAAAGATTGTCAGTAAATCTGGTCCCAAATATAGCCTCTTTATCAAAGGTTCGGTAATATGCTTACTGGATGAAACATCCCAATTGGTAAATTGTCGTCAATGCGCTCTCTAGAGCTGGGTTTGGCCCTGACTCTTTGAACCTCGCGAGGAGATCAACGATACTGGTAAAACGAGGGAAGCTCTGACGTTCAGATGGCGGAAGCGATGTAATTTCCTTGCGCAACGCATAGTAAGACTTTTGGAAGAATGCTGCTAGCAGCGAGTCATTCTTAGCATGCAGCAGACGACGAAGGCCCGAGTCGAACTCCGCAGTCTGATCTCCGAAGAGATACACATGACTGGGGCCTTCCATAATCTCCCCAGTAGCAAATTAATGGTCTCAGGTGTATATGGAGAAAGAAGGAAAGTTTACGCCCGGCGGAAATTGACGGATATCTTACTTTATAGAAGATGTGACGGGAGTATTTTCCCTGAAGTGGGTCGGTAGCAAGTGTAATGGCTTCCTTCCAATTGTCTTAGTAGTATCTAAGCAGGAAATGGAAGAGTTTTAGTTCCAGGTTCTTTTTCTTTGGAATCAGGGTTATATGGTATGGTAACCCAGCTGAAACCTTTGGGAAATGTATGTTCATGCGACTTATTCTCCAGTAATCGGTGAAATTCCATAGATCTCGTATTTCTCATACTGATATGTACCCCAAAATTGACCAATGGTACCGTTACTGCAGTAGATTCCATAATAACTCCCAGAGTTCAGTATGTCTGCCTTACAGAGCCTAAGTGGAGATGGGCTGGACCGAACTAAAAGCTTAGTTCCTTGGATAACCCGATTGGACCCTGGATTATGGCTTCGAGTTACTAAAGCTGCCGGCAAACCGATGATAGTTCCAGGATGCGCGTGTGCTGTTTGCGGATAAAACAAGCAATGACTGCTGAAATCAAGTATTAAGATGGGTAGTGAGCCGAGCTATCCGTGGAGAGCCTGTCATGAGATAGTGGGATCATAGACAAGAGACCTGTTCTGAAGAAAAATTACAATGAAGTTGCAATGAAAGAAACGATGTCGCTGCGTTCGGAAGGTTACAGCGCCGTTGCTATGTGACACGTGACTTTGTTTGCCCTACGTAAAGCAACCTCCCAGTTTTTTTAGACCAGAAATTTCAATGCATCAATGTACATTAGAACGCCTTAAAGAGGGTTATTTGTCTTAAATTTCACAAGCCATAGCGACAGCACGCTAAGTATGGAACGACCCCGTTACACAACATAAAATCGTCGAGGGATGTGAATCCATGATTCGAGTATAGAAACCGATTATCAATAGTATCTACACATATCTTACTAGTGGAGTAAGGAAATGTAGATCAATCTAAAGGTATCATCGTAATGTTTTCCATACGTCATGACTTCAGCTTCGAGACATCTTTTTCTGAGACATCGAGTCTTGTTTTAGATGGTCGTAGCAGACTGGAAGATTCCACTATTCCACTATCATTTTAGGTGACATTTGGGCCATCAATAAGATCTTCAAATAAAAACTGTTCGATGTCTTTGATATCAGTCCCTTAATTGGGTAATCTGGAATGCGCTGTCACATGTGCACGTGGGTCATCGATCGATCGCCCCATCGATCGCCCCATGGCGACCCAGATGTTCTCAAGCCATATATCGAGCGGGCCGAGCTCCCGCCATGAATGACCGCAAACAGACTATATTTTACGAAAAAAGAAGATATGAACAAATAAAACAGACTGAGTGGTATCCTAGCTATCATGGCCGCTGTTTCTGCGTATTACCGCAGAAAAGAAAGTACAAGGCATTAGCACAAGAACGACGACAGAACACAAAAGTCATGTATCAAACCCAACCAAAAATGAGAGTGCGACCTTTCTTATCTCCGGCAGACATGGGAGGAGATAACCCAGCAACTCAATGACAGCCGCATCCTCACGATGGAGCTCATGCGACCGAGCGGGAAACGAGCTTAGACAATTCTTCTGAAGTTATGGACTATATATCCTTGTCCCCATGGATTACCAGGTCGGTATGATGTCAGAAATGGAAGCTTTCGTTGCCAGAGCAACGCGTTGACAACCAGTCCAGTCTGGCATTGACCCTAGCTATGAGACCAAGGTCGGGGGCTCCGGTGCTCACTCTCAGGGGCCTGAGGACAGGCATCTATACCATCAAGTAGAGCAACAGCCACTCCATTGGCCATATTGGTATGGATATGGTAGTGGAAGAGGAAGGGGCCAGGGTTGACAACCCGGTATCGCACAATCATCCATGTTGGTCCCGATCCATTGGGGCCATTAGTAAAGAAAGTATCTCTATCTCTCATTAGGGGGCTCTCCAGGGAGAACTCAGGGTGCTCAGCGTAGGCTTCTTCTGTACTGGACCAATTGAAGATACCAGGACCAACACCAAAAATGAAACCCTTGTTGGAATGCTTGGCATGACATGCGGAGCTTGGATGGCAGGGCTGTGTGGCATTTCTCCCAACTGGAGCAGCAGTTCGGCCTAGGCCCCATTCTTGGTTTGGACGGTGACCTGCGGCTTTGTAGCATGGCATGATACCAGCAAGTACCGTACTAGGTGGCGGTCCAACGATGTGTCCAGCTATGTCCTGGTTGGATATGCTTTGGGTAAGACCTGGTACACCGTCAGACCATGGAGTATTCCGCTGTTCAATCCCATGGAAATGAATGGCGGTATTGAAAGGCATGTTGTTGTGTAAAACAAACTATGGGTAGTTGGACGCTTTCTCTTTTTATCGACAATATCCTCTCTTGTAAAACCTGCCTCAACATTATCATCCTGGTCTATGTGCAGTTCGGAAACAGTAAACTGTTTGTGCGTGGCTGGAATTTCGTGGCCGCGGCAGAATGTGGCAAATTACCATAAAATGGCATTGGCTATCCAATTTTTCAGATTTTCGAGTTGAACAATGTATAGAGCAAATAGTCTAATAGCTCGCATCGCTTGCAAATTACTTCTCTCTTTTGTTTGGTTTTTGAAGTGATGCCATCAGAGGTGAGTGTCTATAGATAGCGACATCGGGTCCCGAGAGCGCACCTCCATGGGTTTACGGACTAAATCGAGGATGAATATTTCTTATACATGTTCCATGTCGAGTAAGAGGTACAACAAAAAGTGTCAATATAGAACTTTGGCCAATCAAATATTGCCTATCTAGAATGTTTCATCGAGTAAGACAGGGTTCACGAAGGTATGCGGCATGTGACATACTAGTAGCACTGATTTCAAAGTATCAAGGAAAGCTCAGGGGTGCTTGGAATCTAGCCGGGGTGGGGAAATTCAAGCGTTGCTTGGCTAGGGAACGCTAGCTGGTTGCCTTTGCGGGTCTGAGGGGCTTTCTAGAGTCGTCGCCAGAGCGTGGATGGATGGAGAGTTTATGCAAGGTCCCCTTTGGACAGATTAAAGTGTAGTTATTGAAGACGAGACGTATGTGGTAATATATGGTTTGCGGACTCCCACGGCCGAAAGGAAGCTCGGAAGAACAATCAATGAAAAAAGGGAAAATATGTCACTACTGCAGTGCCTAAATATATACCATCCGCTGTCCGAAATTCTGCACATCTAACGAGTCAACAAGTGATCGGCCATTCAGTTATACTTGAATCCTAGGCAAGATCTCTCTGCTGCGTAGTAAAATTGGACTTCTTGGCATCTGAATCGAACCAATTGCAGATATCTAGAAAGGTAGGGGTCAATCAGTAGTTCTGTTTCAAGGTTCTCCGGGATATCTAGATCCAACACTTCCCGAATATCTCACCCGAGGCAGACCTCAAGCTAAATATTCATTATAATATAAATTAAACAAGCGAAAATAAACTATTTCGCCAGAGACCTCGGGACCCTCTGTTATCGAGAGTACCAGGGTTTTTCGACACCGAACCATGGATCGGTTACGGCTCCAGCTTTTTCATAGAAGTTGCAACGAAAGGGGAAACATGCCTGGAGGGGTTGAGTACTACACTACAAGGCTTGACTTGGAGACATTCACATACATATATACAGGCAGATGACCTTTAAGAAAAATAAGTTTGGAACGATCGCGCTTCTTTACAAGGACTCGGCCCCGGAGGAAACAGGAGATATTACATAATATGCATTAAGCTTATCGATAAGGCAGCCCTCCGCCGCTAGTCCCGATTGGGCCACAAACAAACAACCCCAGTCCCGGTTTACGCCCCAAAGTGTCGTCTTAGGCCTCACCGATCTGAATCGCTCTGCCTTCCCCCCACGTCTTTGCAAACAGTTTCTTGGCCCCGTTCAGTGCAATTCAGTCTCTATTCGCCAATCATTTTTATTTTCAACACCCAATTGAAACCTCCTAATTCTCTCGACAATGCTGATTGATTGAGCGATCGTTCGTTGCTATCCCTGCGGCCGTGCGGACCTTGTCGCCCATCTGACCAAGCTGTGTGGTATTGAGATTATTGAGTTGGAATCAACAACACAACATTGTCGGATTGATACATCACTTTCCTACCTTCCCTGGACATCAACTTATCAGAAGTGCGCCAGGTGTTGAAGCAGCTTGTTAGGTCGATCCCGTGTGTTGCGCTCGACGAAACCGTGTTTAGGTGACGACCATGACTCAGCTACCAGTGCGTTTTCCATGCTGGTGCCGAGCAGTATATTCCTGGGGTGGAGAGACCACACGAGATCTGGGATTTGTGGAGGGTGACTTAATCGAATGCTTGAATGCAGGCGACGGACAATGGTGGATGGGTCGGTTACGCCGTGACAGGCGCGCGGTTGGACTGTTCCCGTCAAACTTTGTCGAGCTTCTGAGTGAAGACTTTGTGCCCGTCAGCCGTGATACTACTAGCCCAATGGTGCTAGCGGGATCTTCTCCGATCAACAATCCCACATCAGCCCCCAAGAAACAGAAGACCGTTTGGCGGAAACCCTTCCAGGCGCACAAGGAAGCCGTATCACCAGCTTCCGTCGCTCGGCGCGCAACCGAAGCCGGCCAATCTGCACCTGCGATTCCCCAAACACCACCTCGGGATGGCAGCGTTCCACGAAGTACGAAGCCGTTGCGCACGCATGCGACAGCGGTCAAGAACCAAGGCTCCTTATCCCGACCCACGTCATCCGCATCACGGTCTTCCTCACGTGGTGTCTCTCCTCGTTCATCTGCGGAGCCTGAACGGTCACCATCAATGCTGCCGAGGGCAAGTGTCTCAACCTCTCGGCCTTCATCCCGGGAGCAATCCCCATTACAAACACAGGAACGTTCATATGCGATGACGCCGAAGGCCAGCCTCTCATCTACCCGTCCCTCTCCCGTAATCCATCTCCCTTGCCAATACATGAGCATTCGAATGGCATTGTTGCACCAGGCAGTATCCCATCTTATCGGGCTTCATCTCGTGAGCCGTCTCCGTTGCAAATGCAGGATTATCCACCCCCGGCCATGCCACATGGCAGTGTCTCATCCTACCGGGGCTCGTCTCGTGAGCCGTCTCCGTTACATATGCAAGAATATCCACCCTCTACCATCCCCGCTGGGAGTATCTCCTCATATCAGACACAATCACGTGAGCCATCTCCAATGTATATGGAGGATCATCCACCCGCAACGATGCCACATGGGAGTATGTCATCTTACCGGGCTCCATCCCCCTTAATTCATGACCATGCGTCTACGATGGTCCCCCACGGGCGTATCCCATCCTACCGAGCTCCATCGCGTGGGCCATCTCCGCTACCAATTCAGGAGCATTCTACGATGGCTTCACATGGTAATATGTACCAGGCCCCATCGCGCGGGCCATCTCCATTGTACATGGAGGATCATCCACCTGCACCCATGCCACATGGAAGTATGTCTTCTTACCGGGCTCCATCGCCATTGCCCATTCAAGAACATCAGTCTGCGCTCGTCTCTCATGGCAGTATGTCATCTTACCGGGTTCCGTCTCGTGAACCCTCTCCGGTGCAAATGCACGAGGAGCGGGAAGACTCTCCCCCTCCCCCTCCACCGCCGCCGCACCGAGTCGCCATCGGTCGTACAGACTCTCACTCTCCGCAGCCGCCTATGCATTCTCAGACACGAAGTCACTCGCCACTACCACCCACGCACTCATCCCAGTATCGCCCACACTCTCCTAACCCGCCATCACACTATCCACCCCCATCACGATCACCCACTCCATTAGTTATGAATGACCGCTACACGGTATTCAATCGAACCCCATCCCCGTCTGCCGCCTCAATGCACTCCGCTGTTTCTGCGACCTCGGCACAGTCAGATATTCATGGGAATACGCCGTCTCCGCTCCGTGATGCCATGGAAGATGTTATGACCTCATTGGAAGACATGGGTCTCCCTCGCCAAGCCCAGTCGCCCTCTCCGTCGCCAATGTTCAACAATCCCTGGGCCCCCGAAGAATTTGATACTTCGCAGGAAAGGACACCCCAAGGCAACAGACGCCGGCCTTTGACGTCAATGGGCTTTGATGGAGACAAAGAACAACCACAAGGCGGACTCGTCCACCGCAACAGCGTTTATAGCCATGATCACATGGATGGTCCGCCTCAACTGAACAATTATGTCCAAAGGATGGAGAGCCGCCTACGTCAGTTGGAAGATCAGAATCGACCGCCTGAGGACCGAAGAGCCGGTCAGGACGATGACAACGGACCTCCGCCCCCTCCTCCAAAACATGCCACCTACCACCCGCGGAATAACTCTATACCAGGACAATATGCTCCCCTCAGGGCCAGGCGTTCCGGCCATGATCTCCGGGGTGATATTCTGAATCGGTCATTTACCAATAAGTCTAGTGCCACCAATTCATCCAGTGGGGTGCAAAGCAACGGCACATCCATGACGACGAGCACAGACAAGACGAGTCAAAGTGTTATGAGTGGCTTCTCTGCGGGGGGGATTTAGTGCGACGAGTGCAGGGAGCTTTGCCAGGCGGGGCGGGAATGAGAGGCCCAATACTGCTATGGACACTATCCGCTCTCGAGGGTTCAGTGACGTACGCCCAGAGACGCCTTTCACGGGCGTTTCGTATCACTCCAGTCATAACTCTTCTCGTCAGGGTGCATCGTCGGCTATTCCGTGGTCATCCACCGGTCTCGACTCGACGGATCATAGTGGAGTGTTCGGGGGTCTTTCTACGCCAAAGAGCAAAAAGCAAGGGTTTTTCAAAAAGATATTTGAGACGGCCAAGACTGGCGCAGCTAGCGCAAGGAGTAGCATTTCGGTCGGTCATGGCGAGAGATCGAATTCTCCAACCAAGAGCAACAGAGGAATAGATGTCGTCTCACCGGCTCTTGCTTCTCACTCAAATCGCGATAGTGGTCGTGATACGGGACTCGGGAATGGCACCATTGACTGGGTTCAGGTGCGCCGAGATGTTAACCGAGCGTCGTCCCCTAGTCGAAATGAGAGGATCGATAGAGCAGAGCGATGCCAGATGATGGACCATCCTGTTATCTACTCCGTGGAAGAGCTATACGATACTGCAGAGGGGGATGAAAGCATCGATGGGCAACCAATCACCGAGCCAACGAACTTCCACGCAGCCAATCTTAACCTCGTTGATAAGAGTGCACGCTTCATCAGCAGTCTACCTCCAATGACGAACCCCATGAGCCTCGCCCAAGCTTATATTTGTCGACCCTACAAGAGTGACGTCCAGCGTCTCCGGGCCATATTTACCTGGGTCAGCGAGAAAATATCGTGGGAGGAACCTGTCGACGGCCTCGAAGTTGACATGAAGAGACTTCTGCAGGCCAAACGAGGTACCCCAGAGGAAATCGCACTATTGGTGCACGAGATGTGCGCAGCCGTTGGCCTGCATACAGAAATCATCAGAGGCTTCCTTAAGAGCCCCGGCGACGCCCTTGATCTGGAAAGCCTCTCCCGTCCTAATCACTGGTGGAACTCCGTTTTGGTCGACGGGGAATGGCGCTTTATGGATTGTGCGCTTGCAAACCCCACGAACCCTCACCGCAGTAAATTTGTTACCAACAATTCTTCTGTAGCGGAGAGCTGGTACTTCCTCACACGCCCCCTTGATCTCTGCTACACTCATGTCCCGCTCTATCCGGAAGAACAGCACATCTGTCCACCAATTTCACCAGATGTTCTCCTCTCCCTTCCCACCGTGTGCCCCCCATTCTTTAAACTTAACGTCCAAATGCCGGATTATGACACAAGTTTCCTTCGTATCGACGGATTGGAAGTCATGCAACTCCGCATGCTAGTCCCTCCCGATGTTGAATGTGCCGCGGAAGTCGAAGCCCCAGGATTCGCCCGCGACGCAGACGGCGACTGCTTCGAAAGCGGAGACATTGTGCGCAAGCGCGCCTTGGTCCAGCCGGATTGGATCCGCGGTCAAAAACGCATCACAATCAAGGCTGTACTGCCCGGCGACGAAGGCCAGGGTGTCCTCAAGATTTATGCAGGCAAGAAAGGGCTGATGCACTCAAGCCGTGACATTCCCCATCCCCTAGCCTTGGCTCTACCAATGATCCACACCGGCGAGAATCCATCTTACGATTTCGTGCTACGCCATCCTACACCCCACGCCCAGCGACACGACTTGTACATCATGCAGCCGCAATGCTCGCGCCTGGCAGTGAACAATACCTTTGTGTTCGCTGTCCGGCAACACGCTTCTGCTCCCGCGTCCGGCAAGGACGATACCACCTCCAATGGCCGCGGTTCGCCCTCGTCCGTCTTCACTCGTCCATCTAGTGCGTTGAGCATGGTGTCCAGTACAGCGGGAGGCTCCACTGTATCGGGTGCCTCAAACGAATTCTCAGCATCGACATCGGCCATTTCATCGACCAAATCTGCTTCTGGGCGGGACAAGGCTGCGAAATTAGCGATTCAGTCCCCGTCCGGCAAGATACTTCGCCTCACCCGCAAAGCTGACCATATGATCAGCAGTGATACTGGCACCGAATCTGTTACCGATGCCGTCGCTGAGGGAAGTGTCTGGGAGACTGTCATTAAGATCGGTGAACGTGGTATGTGGCGCGGACTTGTGCTAGCTGACCGAGCTGCGCGCTGGTGTGTATTTTGCGAGTGGGAATGTGTTTGATCTCTTTTCTTTTACATATTATGGGCGTTTATCTTGCAGCCTTCTGACAGACCAGACTCGGGAAAAGGTGGCTGTCTGTCTTTCTTATTTTACTTGTCCTTTTGCGGGTTGCATATCATTGTCATATTGTCCTCCTGGCATACTAGCATTTGCATGAGGTTCGCTTGGGGCATTGCATATATTGCATTTTATCCGTCCATGTTCTATTCCAGAGATGATTTCGGTGTTAGAGTCTGAATTAATTGGAGTTTGAGATATCCAAGTTCGCATCAATCATCATATAGAGTAACCCGAAAGCCTATGTGTAGCAATAGAATGATACACAGGGAATCCAATCCAAGCCCTAACTGATTCTGTTCTTCTTGAAACGCAAAAGTATGTTCTTGATTTGAAGGCCAAGAAGAATGACCCGTGGGAGTGCGATGTGAAAGGGCGGAGACTGCCTTTATGTGCCTTACACGAGGAAGAGTAAACAGGCCAGCCAACAGTAATCTAGCATTTCAGTACAATTCTTCTACAAATCATTTATAATTTAGCTACTGCTGCCCGCAGCAATGGCGCAACCTGCTTTCTACTCCCGGCCGCGTTGGTTTGCACCCACAGTTTCCTCCAAAGGGTTGAGTCCTCGTTCAATATAGAAAGACAATCTCCTGTCAACTCAGGGATATCCTCCCCATCGAGCGGAGACCATTCTATGAGCCCAAGATGGTGAGAGGAGTGCTCAACAAAACTCTTGACACCCTTAACAGCCGCTTCATTATCGCCCATCACGCTGACGAACAGCTCGCGGCAAAACTTGTCATTAGTGCCTGTAAATGCTGTCATAATAACAAGCACATCCAAGTCTTTCCCAGTGGAAGCCGCGAACGAACGCACGGAATCGAGGAACTTCTCCGGGCCATCCGCCTTCTGTACAATCCATCGCATGGGCTTGACAGCAGAGCAAAAGCCCATTTTCACGGTCTTGCCCGACGACTGTGACGTCTCAGTCCAGTCTTTGTAATCGCGGTCCAACACTTCACCCATCGTAAGAAGATCGAGACTACTCTGCTTAGCATGAAGGATACTCTTGTAGAATGCCTCCAAGTCCCAATCGCCTTTTGCCTCCGCAGCAGCCTGTGATTGCTCCTCGATTTGAGATTGCAGGAATTCAACAGCCATACGGTCTACATCGGTCACTTTGCCTTCGGCAGTGAGATTCGAGGTATCAATTAACACCGCAGAAAGAGCAAGCTTTGCGACCTGGACCATCTCCGGGTTCGCATCCCAGAGTTTCCGCTGTCGCAACTCGCGCGTTATGAGCGATGCACAGGACCCAGGTCCAGGCTGGATAATCATCGGCTGGCGTTCTGGTAATGCGTCGATGCTTGGCATCGAGTCCTCATTGACATGGTGGTCGATACATGCAACAGTCCGGAAGGTGACACCCGACAACCCGGTTAAGGATCCCGAGCCCTTATCGGTCTTGGAGGGGCGTGGGAACGCGTTCCAGTCTACCAGTGTTGCATCGGCGAGTATCTGTTTCCATACGTGCTGGTCTTCGAGAGATTGCGCAAAGTCTGCGACGGTCATAACATGCTCGCGTAGGAAATTCCCCGCAGACTGCAGGGTATTCTCGAATTTCTCTTCAGTCTTCAGGGCGGGAAAATTGGTTGATGACCACAATGCAGCCGAAAATTCCGGTCTCAGTCGATATAGCTCTGTCCCAGCGGGGAAATTGGGGAGGTTTAGGAGTGGGATATGGGGTCGTGGGCTTTTGATCGGGAGCCGGTTGTTCGCGCAGTAGGAATAGATGATCGCCGAGACGATGGAGTCAAGGTCGGCGGAGGGATTGCCAATTACATAGACTGGAGGCTCGGATAGGGCACCCGAGAGGAAATGGAGGTGTACTTGGCGGGCATGTCGTAGAAATTGGAGGAGAGTCATGGTTGTTGAATCGATTGATCTCAGCCAAGCTCCAGATGCCCACGGGCAGATGCGCGACGTCATTCAATTGCTGACACATCGTGTATCAGATTGATGCCTTGAACATGAGGCCACAATATATAAATATCCCGGTGGGATATCCCAACTTGATTGCACCAAAAGCCATGCATAGAACGATGTCTGTTCCGCTACAGCTGCCAGAAACATTCGCCCAAATCCCGCGCTATAATATTCTATACTCCCATCCTTCCCCCATCCACCCCTTACCCTCAATTGCACCCCCAAGAGTCTCCCCGCACCACCCCCTCATCTCCATCCACGCCAAACGAGAAGACCACTGCTCCCCACTAGCCTGCGCAGGCAACAAATATCGCAAACTAGAATACATAGTACCAGACATTCTATCTCAAACACCACTCTACCATAGCCATGAGAACAACCCAACACTCCAAGGCCCGCTGCACGGCGCAGTAACAACCCTCGTTACAGAGGGCGCAATCCAGAGCAACCATACCGTGCAAGTCGTCGCTCTCGCACGGAAACTCGGCCTGAAAGCCCTAGTCCTTTTACACCGCGGCACAGGCGGCGGACTCGCAGCAGCAAGCGACAAGGAGGCCTTCCAACGCAGCGGAAACGTGCAAATCAATCACCTTCTCGGCGCGGGGGTTCGTGTCTGCGAAGAAGGCGATCCGCTAGCGCTGGATGCGACACCTCTCCTTGATGAGTTGAGAGCGTTGGGACAGAATCCGTATTGGATCCCTGGTGGCGCAAGCTTACATCCGCTTGGTGGGCTGGGGTATGCGCGTGCGGCGTTTGAGATTGCTGCGCAGGAGGAGGAGATGGTGCTTGGGGGTTCGGGGCGGTTTGATTATGTCTTTGTTGCGTGTGGGAGTGGGAGTACGGTTGGCGGGTTGATTGCTGGGTTTAAGCTTCTGGAGAAGATTAGCGGATTCGATGCCTCAAAGACAATTGGGGAGCCGAGGAAGGTTGTTGGGATTCTTAATTCGCCGACTAGACCGCGGGCGTATCATGAAAAGCGGGTGCTTACCTTTGCGCGGAGGGCGGGCGAGTTGATTGGGCTCGATGGGGAGCGGGATATTGGGATGGACGACGTGCGGCTTGATGATCGGTTTGTTGGGACTGCATACGGTGTGCTTGACGATGAGAGTAAAGAGGCTCTAGAGACTATGGCACGGATAGAGGGTATGGTGCTGGATCCAGTTTATACAGCCAAGGTTGCGAGAGGCATGATGCATTGGGTGAGCGAGGGAGAAGTTGCGGACTCCGCTAAACCTTTGGACCAGGTCAATGTATTGTTCATTCACACAGGCGGACAGGCTGCTTTAGGGGCTTATGCCGATGTCATATAAAGCATGTCAATAAGTAGCTTATAGTCAGGAACATGAATAAGAATGGCTGGATTCAACTAGTATTACATGGTGTCGGCAGCAAAGGAAAGCAGTCATGACAGACATCGTCTTGTGGTATGGAAAAGCAGAAAAGCGTGGAATCGCTGGAAAACACCCCCGGACTCGCCAGTCCCGTCTCTTGTACACCCTTTTTTGAGAATTGATCCGAGCACGATGAAAGTATAAGAGAGGCGAGTAAACAACAAAGCAACGCAGGAAAGCAATCAGAATACAGTAAACAAAGACCGAACAAGAGGCGGTCGAGAGGCGGTCAAGTTTGAATAAGAAACAAAAACATTCATTGAGAAAAAAGCAAGAAGAGTCAAAGTTCCTCGTCCTCAAGGTCTCCATTGGTGCCGTCGAATTTGGGCTCACCTTGCGGTTCACCAGGTTCACCATTTGGAGCCGATTCCTCCTGAACAGAGGCAGCACGGCTACTGCCGTTGCTAACCACGAGCGCCTCCAGAGCCTCATTAGCATGAGTATTCTCCATAGGTTGGGTCTCAGCTTCGTGGTCAATTTCTTGATTGGTCAAGTCCGCAAATACGTCATCCAGGTTCTGACGAGGGCTGCTGCTCGCGAACTGAGGCTCATGACCAAATCGTGGAGGACTGAAAAGTGAGGTTTCTAGGTCTGGCTGGGGAGAGCGTGGAAGGAATGAGGGGGACTGTGAAGCGGCTGCGTGGGGAAGGAAAGCCGAGGAGGAAGTAGGTGCAAACGCGGGTGTGGAATCGCTTGCAGGCAAAGAATAGTTCGCAGAGAATGGATATGGTGCAGCGTTTGGATCTGGCATCTGAGCCAAAGTTGGACCTGTGCTAGGTGGTTGCCCGCTACTAGAAGTCGGTGGTGCCGGTTGCATGGATGCAGGTTGACTAGGAGCCGACTGTGGTTGAGCATCGACAGACTTCCGTTTGGTTGCGCCAATGTGCTTGGGTCGAAGATGCTCCGGGAGATCCTCTGGACGATTCACCCCAAGCTGGGCCATCATTTTCTGCTGCTTGGTCGGTCGCGGCTTTCGTGTTGACAAAGATTGCTCCAGAATTGGAGGGGGTTCCGGTGCGACAGGTGCCCACTTATGGATCTCCTGCCGGAAGAAATTTGTCTCAAAGGTGAGAAGAACCTCAGCGCCCTCGATTTTGCGGAGATAGAATATCAAAGTCGGGACTTCCTCGGTCGTTGTGCACGCGGCATTAGTGAAGCCTTGCAGGAAATCACGGAAGGCTGTCGCTTGGTTAATGATACTCTCAAGAACTTCCTCTTCCTCGGGCTGGAAAGGCAAAGTTGCGATCTCCGCGTGCCAATCCTGCAGATCCTCGAGCTTGGGACGAGCAGCATCGCGCGGAATCTTTTGACGCCAATCGCAGATTGGGCAGGTATACTTGTCAAATTCCTTCACTTTACCCCGAGCAATCTTCAAACATTTGCCATGGTACCTACATTTGTCAGTAAACTAAATCACAAATGGAAGGTTTGTTGGCTTACCATTCGTGGCAGACTTCACATTCAATCATCATTCCTGCCTCAGAGTGCCTGCAAATACAGAACACATCTCGCTTCCGCGACTTTGGGCCCCACATGTTGTTGGGATTGCCAGAATTCTCAAGCAAACCTTCCGGCGAATTGTCTCGAGATGAAGGCTCCACAGGCGGTCGGTAACTGTCCTCT